AGGTACTTGTGGGAGTTACTGTAGAGTGGATCACTGTGGCTGGATTTGGTGGTGTACACCTGTGATCCCAACTCTCAGAAAGCTGAGGCAGGAGGATCACAAATTCAAGGTCATCCAAGTCTCACAGTGAATTCAAGCCCAACTGGACTACATAGCCTGTCTCAAAAACAAGAAAGCCAGAATGAATCAGTTTTGATGTAATGCTTTGAGTGCGCCACAAGGAAATTATACTCTGAACTGTGAGACACAACTGGTCAAGTTCTCTAAGTAGCTGTTGTTTAATTGCATGGATGGTGAGTGTCCCCTGCCTTGCAGGTCTGCAGTCCCGGAGCCCAAATGGCCACAGGCTGTGAGCAGGTTACCCGTGATGCCCTGAGAGGTGGTCCCCACAGGTTGGAGTCATGTTCCCTGGGGCTGCGGGAAGGACACAGCATGGGGCGTCTGGCCCAAGCCCAGCGGGGCAGGCTGCCACAGGCTCCTAACCGAAGGGCGGCAGCCTGTGCCAACAGGACAAGAATCAGAGGCTACCAAATTTGCACAAGTCGAAGGCTGAGTGCCTAGATTCATTTGCTAGGGCTGCCTCGACTAAGCACTACCAGCTGGGTGACTTATGCACAGAATCTACTCGCTCATGGCTGTGACTGTCACTAAATTTACTTTTTAAATTTTTTTTTTAGTTCTTGGACTGAACCCAGGACTTCTGCAATGAACCACATCCTTAGCCCATTGGTTGACTGATTGATTGATTTCTAGGTTTTTGTTAAGTTGACCAGGCTGGGCTTGAACTTGCAATCCTCCTGCCTCAGCCTCCTAGAGTATTGGAATTACAAGTTTGTGCCACCATGGCCAGCCCAAATTTCCCTTTTTTCTAGGGATAGCAGCTATACTGGGTCAAACACCACCGTAATATTTTCATCTTAACGTGCATATCTCTATAAAGACCCTATCTCCACACTTGGGTATTTGGGTTGAGGATGCCCGTATGTGAATTAGTGAGGACAGTGCACAGTTTGCCTTACAACATCTCCAGAGAAGCTCTGGGTCTCACAAGCGCCCCCTCCCTGGCCATAGCTCTCGGAGCTGATTTCCCTGAGGCCCACGACAATGACGTGACCCTGACTGCCGGTTATTGGGAAGGGCAGGCACCTGGCCTTTGTTTCTGCATCTCCCTGGTTCTCATGTTGCGTCTGTCCTCCTGCCCCAAACTCCCACTCCCTACTTCCCGCTGTCCCCCAAAACGCTCACCTGTCTTCCTGCATGCAGACCGGAAGTCCCAGGTCCACACTGACCTCGCTTTTCTCCCTCCATCCTCTCTTGATCTGCACCCCAGGCTCTGTCTCCCACTTCCGCCCCATGGCTCTGTTTTTCACCTTGCACCCGCCTCTTCCCAGGGGTCTCTGCTTTCCGCCTGCCCCCCAAGTCACGTATACACAGCTCCCATATGCAATGGTTGGATTTAGGAATTTTCGTCTGGACAGCGGTGTGAAAGCGAGATAGATTCAGTACAAATCATACTTGGAATTTTGAATTTGGATCCTTTCCTGGGCAAGTGTGTGTGGGATGATCCTCTCTCCACGCCGGCTGGGGACAGCAAACCACAGCTCCCGGTCAACCATGCAATCAGCAGGGAAACAACCAACACTCCGCAGTGTGCTGTGTGGCTAAGCTGTTAAGCAGATTAGAAGCATTTCCAACTTATGATATTTTCAGCGTACAGCGCGTCTGGCGGGATGTGGCCCCGTAGCAGGTCAGGGAGCATCTGTATTCCTGGCACACGGCTTTGATGGTGTCACTCGCTCAGCTGGGCAGCGGCAGGGCTTCTCTGTTCTCCACTAAAGCAAGAGCAGACTCGTCTGCTGAGTCTAAGTGACTCTGAAATTCCAAAATTCACTTAGACTTGGTGCTGTGGCATAGACTGGGCGACTAGAACAACAGTTCTGGAACCAGGAAGTCTGAGATCGGGGTGTCAGTGTAGCCCCATTCTGAGGAGGACCCTCTTTCCTCACTTGCAGTTGACCACTTTCCCCCTGAATCGCCAGAAGGAGAGAGGAAGAGGCCACCCATGCTATAGCTGAGGCACCACCCCACTCATATTTGGGAGACAACAGTTATCTCCTAAAAGCTCTGTCGCCTGTGCAGACACACTGTGGCTTACGGCTTTGACCTGTGAACTTGGCACGACACAATTCAGTCTAATTCAGACCTCAAACGTTGGTTGAGCATGCATTGGGGCGCCACTGTTCCAGGGTGGGGACAGAGCAAGCTGAAGGGTGGGCAGTCAGAGCACACGGCCAGCCCTCCGCATCCCAGGCTCGCACACACAGATTCAACCGACTGCAGACAGAAACTGCACAGGAGGAAAAGATCACATCCAAGCTGAATGTGCGGGGACCTGTTTTATCTTGCCACTCCCTAGACACACAATGCAACAACGGTGTACACTGCGTTTACATCGGATCAGATACCATAGGTACTTCAGGGACAATTTAAACCATACAGGAGGCTATGTGCAGGTTTTATGCAAATATTACATGGTTTTATATCAGAGACGTGAACATCCTTGACTTTGGCCCTCAAAGCAATCAGCTGCCTGCCGATACCAAGAGGCGCTTGTGTTATCTAAATATGCAGATATATAAAGATATATAAACACATGCTGTGTACATGTTCTCACACATGCACACACATGTGACATGCGCACACACAGACACATGCACACTTACACACACATGCTCTCACAATGCACATACATGCTCTCCTGTGCACACATGTGCCATCACATGTGCTGTCACATGCATATGCTTTCACACACATACTATCTCAGTTATTGCAAGCAAGGTCAAGTGCTCTGAAGATATCTGAAGCATGGAAAGGGTGGCAGGGAGCATGGGTGACAAGGCCTGGTGCTGTTGTAAGGTTTTGTTCTGTGGTGTTTATTTTGAGGCAGGGTCTCCCTATGTAATTCGGGCTGACCTTGAACTTGTGGCAACCCTCATGCCTCAGCCTCCCAAGCGCTAGGATTACAGGCCTGCACCACCATGCGTGGCAGGGCTGGGCAGTGCTTTAAAGAAAGATCAGGAAAATCTGTAGCAGTGATGTGTGACAATGTTCGGCCAACTGGAATTAGACCTCTTCCCTCCAGCGTCTACAAACTTGTAAAGGGTAAGACAGGAAATAGTGCTGGTGGGTGTGGGTGTCCAGTCTTGGTCCCCATCACACCTACCCCGCTCTGCCACCAGAGTACAAAAGAAGCCACCCATACACAATGCAGGAACAAAGGAGTGTGGCCGAGTTCCAGCAAAACTGTATTTATGGAGCTTGAAATTTGAACCTCATATAAGTTTCATGTGTCACAAAGTATTCTTCTTCTTTGCATTTCTATAGCCAACAGTCTAAAAGTAGAAAAACCATCCTTCACTCAGGGGCTGGACAGGAGCCGGCAGCAGGCCCAGGGCGGCCCCGTGCTGAGTCTGCAGACCCAGCCTGCTTCAGAGCAGGCAGCCATCCGTGCAGGCTCCCCCAGCGGTGGGCTGAGCACCCGTGTGCAGGAGGCCTCAAGCCTCCTGGAGACCTGGGCCAGGCCTCTTCCACAGGGCTTCTCAGGCTCCTCAGCAAGGAGGTGTCAGCAGAGCCTTTGAGACGTCCCGAGCTCACAGCCTGCTTTGCCAAGTTCGAGATCCACCGGAATGGCAAGCCCATCTCCCGACACCTGCAAACCGTCGTTGTCCTGTGGCAGAAGGGAAGCCAGGAAAGGAGGGCGGCGCCCGCAGCCCAGAGCCCCCTCGTGCCCTGTCCCCAGCATCAGCTCCGAAGTGCTGCCAGTCTGCATTTTGATCTGGAGCACTGAGGGCCCCACTAGAAAAAGCATCTGCATCCTGCATACAGGTCCCCCACTGCTGTATTAACCTCCCCACTCGTCCCCTCCAGAGTCCCCCGCGATTGCTGGGGACAATGGGAACATCAAAGCCCAAGCACAGCAGCCCTGCCGGCAGCTTCCAAATGCCCGATTTCACATGGCAGCCCGCGAAGCCCCGGGTGGAAGGTGGCGCGTGCTTGGCTCTTTACCGCACCCCGTGCACATCTGGAACCCCAACAGATGGTCTGTTTTATTAAGCCTCTTAGAGAAGGCTGCCAGCGGCCGCCCCAGCCCCAGGCCACGCCTCCTCATCCTGACGCCCTGCCCACCCACACCAGTGCTGCTGTCCCCACTCTGAGGTCCTGAGACACAGCAGCCCCCAGGGTACTAACAGGGAGAATTGACTACCATAGATACATGGTCTGTACCTGTCACTGAGCACGGCAGACAGAGTAACCGGGAAGAGCAGAGGTTTATTTGGGTCCAGTCCTGGAGGCTGATGATTCCACAAGCATGGAATCTGATGAGGATACCCTGCTGTCCCCAACCTGGCAGAGGGCACTCCTCATTAGGAGGCAGAGGCGAGCCACTTGGGTCTCTCTTCTTCTTCATATAAAGCCATGGTTCCTCAGTTTTCTCATCTGTAAAATGGAAAAATACGGTTATGGCTTGGTACCTGGAAAGTGCTGTGGAATGTTAGTTTTCAATATCTGTCCTCCAGTGTTCTCATTGACTTCCGTCCTGGAATCAGCTCCTTCATTGCACCCCACTGGTCTCCTACCCTGTATGAGTATCACTCAATGCTTTGGCCTCCGTCCCCAGCCAGGACTTCGCAGTGGGTGTGCCTGTGGCCTCTCTTTTCTAGCTGCTGTGTGATGGATGCTTGTCTGACACCTGGGCACCACCACTGAAAACACACAAGGTAGATGTTACCCTTAGGGTGAGATCTCAAACACATGGGGCAATGCTGGTCAGCCTGAGCCTTATCCGCCCCCCAGCCACTGCTGCTGGCTGGTCTGTTTGTTTCCAGAGGTAAAGACAAATGGATGGCTGAAGTCATTTAGGGTGGAGACAACAGTTCATGCAAAGGCCCTGAGGCCTCGAGAACCTGCTTAATGCCCCCCACCTGCCTTCTCTTCTCCAGCCCCCTGCCTCAGGCAGGCAGTCCCCCACCAAGAACGGCAGCCCCTCCAAGTGCCCCCGCTTCATCAAGGTCAAGAACTGGGAGACTGACGTGGTGCTCACAGACACCCTCCACCTTAAGAGCACGCTGGTGAGTAACCCAGCCGGGTCTAGACCGGAGAGGCTCTGTCTCGGCTCCCCGCACTTACAGCCAGCTCTAGCTCGGCTGTGGCAGCTGTCCTGTGCCCAGCACAATGGTTAACATCACCCCTGGCCTGTCCTCCTTGGTTTCACTACCCCAACCCATGTATAACAACAAAAAGGTTTCCAGACATCACCTAAGCGCCCTAGGAAGGAAGTTCATACCCTGCTGATGGTACCCACTCACCTATGCAGATGCTTTTCATCAGTGTACCCTGTACCCTTCAGAATTCAAGGACAGTTGCTGGCTCCAAAAATACTCTTTTTATCTCTGTTTGGCCACTGATGGAGAATTTGATGAGCCTTTCCTAATTTTGCAGTGTGTCCTCTAAATTTCTATACCCTATTTTTCAAAATCAACACATTGCTTTAAATTTTTGTTGGGCATCTTAGAGGAATGCTGTATTAGTTAGCTATTGCTGTATAACAAATGGGTCCAAAAATTTAAGTGGCTGAAAAAACAAAACTATGCATTATCTTTTAAGAGTTTCTGGATTAACACGGTGGTTCTGCTGGTCTGGGCCAGATACAAGTGATCTCAGTGAGGTTAGCAATGAACATGCAGTCATCCAAGGGGGATAGCTCAGGGCAGGCTGGTGTAGGGTGGCCCTGGATGACACAACTGTGTTCCATGCAGACACTCCTCTCCCACCAAGATAGCTTGGGCTGGTCACCTATGCTTGCAAAAGGATGCAAAACCTCTTGAGGCCCAGGCATGGACATAGCCCAGGGACACTTCTGCCATATTCTATGGGCCAAAGCCACCCCAGATCCAAGAAGTGAGAAAGCAGACTCCACCTCTTCATGGAAACTGATGTAAAGTCATGTTACAAAGGGAACACAGGAAAGGAAAGAATTGAGACCAGTTTTGGTAATCAGTTGTTTCTTTTTGATCATTATGGAGTCAAAACTATTCTGTAATTTAGTGCCAGGGATTCTGATTCCTACTCTGCACACCCCCACATCCCTGACACCAAACATTTTGGGGATTTTAAAACATGGTTCCCTGTTCCTTACCATGGCTGATGACCACGTCCAACAATGATTAGAAGGTGGCCCTGAGAAATCCCCTCGGAATTAAGACCCAGATCAGCTTTGCTGTGGATATAAGAGCCAGCGCGGCAGCCACACAGCTGGCAAAGCGGTGGCCTGAGTCTCTCTTGACCCTGCAGGAAACGGGCTGCACCGAGCACATCTGCATCGGCTCCATCATGCTGCCCCCTCAGCACACACGGAGGCCCGAAGATGTCCGCACCAAGGGTCAGCTCTTCCCCCTCGCCAAAGAGTTCCTGGATCAGTACTACTCGTCAATTAAAAGGCAAGTGTGCGTCAACGGTGGGTAACCGGGGTAAGTTACTGAGTGCCGGAAAAAAGGACGTAAGATCCAACTACAGACAGGTGAGCCAAGCCGTGATCATGAGGCCTCCACCCGCCACAGACAGAGTCCAAGACTGGCAGCCAGAGGGTCACAGCCGGTCCCCAGAAGCAAAAGAGCTGCTAAAAATATGAAACTTTTCTAGCTGGGTGTGGCACACACTTGTAATCCCAGCATTCTGGGAGGCTGAGGCAAGAGGATCACAAGTTTGAGTCCAGCCTAAATAACTTAGCAACCTAGTAAGATATGGTCACAAAATAAAAACAATAAATAGGGCTGAGATTTTAGCTCAGTGCAAAAACTCCATACCCCGATCCCCTCAAATTGAAACATTTCAAGCAATTCCACACCTAGAATGCTTATACCTGTTCCTAAGAAATCATGTACACATTATTTATCATAGGAAAAATCACAATCAAAGAAAGTTTATACATGGTATATGCTTCAAATCCCAGTTATTCAAGAGGCTGAGGCAGGAAGATTGTGAGCTCAAGGCCACCCCAGTCTGGGTAACAAGACCACTTCAAAATATTAAAAAGAAATTTAAAAAAAATGTTTTAAACCTCCAGGAAACCACTCAGCTCCATTAATGAGATAAAGGTAAATAAGCTGTGATATTCTAGTGACAAAGTACAGGATTGAATATCCTTTATCTAAAATGCTTAGGACCAGAAGTATTTGAGATTTCAAAGTTTTTCAGACTTTCAAATATGTGCATGGACTATTCCCCTAATCTGAAAAATCTAAAATCTGAGAGGTTAGGGATATGACTCAGTTGCAGAGCATGTATTTATTATAAACAAGGTCCTGGGTTCAACTCCCAACACCCAAATATAAGTAAATAAGGCCAGGAAGGAAGCTCAGTGGTAGAGCCCTTGACTAGCATGTGGAAGGTTCTAGGGTCCAGCCTTAGCACGGCAAAGTAAAAAATAAAAATGAAAAGGTAAAAGTCATGTACAATGACAGGGAATCATTCCCACCAAGCTCTACTAATATTTCTTACCCTGAGCATGTGTCATTCTGTTCTGTATACCTTCTTGTGAGTCTAAAATTGCCCATAATTTTTAACTTTCTCAAACTGAGCATATTGCCAACATTTAAAGCCTAGAAGAGTTCCCTTTAAAAACTGATTCCAATATCCCTTGAATGTGATCGGGCAGCCAGGGTCCCCATTCCTATCAGGCAGATGCTCTGCTGGAGTGGAGTCCTGACTGCCCCCGGGGACCCCGTTTGTGTCTTCATCACAGCCCCCACCGTCGGTTCCTCCTGGGTACACTGCCAGGCCTTTGTGGGCATCTGAGTGCCCATGTCTGCTTCACACTCAAACCATTGTGTGTTGACATCACTTGGTGCTCTCTGTGGCTGTGGCTGTGGCTTCCTGAAATATTCTGTCCCTTCCATCAACCTCTCCTTCAGAAGACAGGGTTGTGTCATCTTTCAGGCAGTGCGTCAAATACCTGAAAGAGTCAATTTATAAAGAGGAAACACTTCGTTTTGGCTTACAGCTTTAGAGGTTTCAGTCTCTGGTTGTCGGGCTGTCTTACCTTTGGGCCCGTAGCAGCATAATACATCATTACAGGAGAATGCAACAGGAGAAGCTGCTCCCCTCATGGCAGCCAATGAGCAAAGAGATAGACAGGAAGGGGATGAATCATCCAATCCTGTTCAAGGACACACCCCCAACAACTTAACTCCCTCTCACTAAGTCCCACCTCTTAAAGGTTCCTCTACCTCCCAACACCACAACGGGATGGCCACTGAGCTTTTCACATATGGACCACTGGAGGACCCTTCCGAACTGCAACAGTGATGTTTCCATGTTCCTTCTGTCCTCACTCCAGATTTGGCTCCAAAGCCCACATGGACAGGCTGGAAGAGGTGAACAAGGAGATTGAAAGCACTAGCACCTACCAGCTCAAGGACACAGAGCTCATCTACGGGGCCAAACATGCCTGGCGGAATGCCGCCCGCTGCGTTGGCAGGATCCAGTGGTCTAAGCTGCAGGTGGGTGGTGAGGCTCCGAGGCCTGGAAGGCCCTATTGTGGGGGAGTGGGGAAAGGGGAGCAGATGGAACTTTCCAGAAGGTCCAATCCTTTTACGTATTGGCCGTAGTGACTTACCACGTCCCAGATGCTCAGATCATGGCTAAAGTCTGACTTCAGCCATGTCTGATTCCGCTGACACTGGTATCTTTTTACCTGTATTCACATCTGTTGGGAGAATTTATGCTCCCCATTTGCAGAAGACCCCGCCATTCCCTTTTGTCTGACGCCTCCTCTCTCGGTTTATTTCTGTTCTTTGCCAACCCCTGAAGAGATTAGTTTGTTTCCTCTGGTGTGATTTCATCCTACGGAACAACTTAATATTCTAAATATGTTAGTTATTAGGATGGGAGGTGTTGATCTCTGTTTGTTCTGCTTGAAACCAGCCCGTTCAAACTCCTGCCCTCACCCATCACCCCGTTTTCCCATTCACGGGCACCCCAGGCCTGCTTTTAGGGGACTTTTCTGATGGACCTTGGTTTCTAGCATAGGCTAAAGAATGTAATGAAACACAGCCTGGACCTCAGGAATGAGATGCTCATGACTCCAGGGGGCCCACGGCTGGGCTGGGCCCAGATCCTTTTAAAATGGGCAGACTGCCTGGGGTGTGGGAGGGAGGAGGAGGAGGCCTTGGACCCCACACACTTCTTCCAGGTGTTCGACGCCCGCGACTGCACCACGGCACACGGGATGTTCAATTACATCTGCAACCACATCAAGTATGCCACCAACAAAGGGAACCTCAGGTGCGCTGACCCGTGGGAGGGAGGGGGGCCGGTGTCCCCACTGCAGAGGGCTGCCTCGCTGGGAGCCTGGGTGGCACTGGGAAGGTGGGCTGGCACTCCTGTCTCACCCCTGCATCTGTTGTCTTCCGGATAAGTGGGTTCCCATGTGACTTGCAAACTACAGACATAAAGTCACATTCATCCCTATCCCCCAGGGAGAGGGTGAGAGGAAATCCTTTAGGTTCTCAGGAAGAGGAGAAGCCCAGCACAGGGGACTAGGAGAGGCTGTTACCGCCTCGTGCTCTGCTGCCTGGAGCTGCCTGCGAATCTCCTTTGGTTTTGAATCTCCTCCTGCCGGTGTGAGGTCACCTCCTTCAGGGTCCAGCAAGCCAAGTCACACCTTGGACACCTTGTGTCAATACAAGGACAAAAATACGCTCTGGGAGACTGAGGCAGGAAGATCACAAATTTGAGCCCAGCCTTGGCAGCTCAGCGACTCAGTGAGGCCCTGACTCTTAAAAATTAAAAAGGCTGAGGACATAATACTAAGTGTGCGTGCGCGCAAACACACACACACACACACACACACACACACAGAGGCGTGGTATGGGCTGTGGCCGTCACGCTGCCTGGCCTTGCAGGAGCAGCTGGGATGCCTTGAACAGCTGGCTGCCCCGTGTCAGCTTTGGTCACTCACTGCTGCCCCTGGGTCTGCTCTCAGCCACAGAGGCCCGGCCCCATCTTTAGAACACACACACCCTCCCCACGTCACTACCTTGAGCTTATCCTGAAGCAGCTTGTGTGCACTAAGATGGGCTCTCCTGGAGAATGTTTGCCAGTTGTCTGATCCACCAGGAGGGATCGTGTTTAGGTCTCTCTCCCAAGCAATCTCAGCTGCAATATCAAAGAACCTTCCCTATATCTGGCCATTCATGGAGGTCCTTGTCACAATGAACCATCGAGGAGATTTTTTTTCCAATCACTGTAATTAAATGCCTGAGAAAATGAATTTAAAGGAGAGGTTTGTTTTGACTCATGGTTTCGGAGGCTTCAGTCCATGGGCAGCGAGTTGCAAGGCAAAAACGGCATGGCACCAGGGCGTGGTGGAGGGAAGCTGCTCACCTCATGGCAGCCGGGAACCAGAGAGCAAGAGGAAAGCCAGAGAGGAAGGGACAGGGACCAGATACAGGACAGTCCCTAAGTCAAGTCTGTCCTCAGGGTCCATTGCCTCTTACCTGCGCACTGGGCTATGAACTCACGGGTGTATTAGCTCGTTGTGAGGTGAGCTTCCCTGTGATCCAGTCACCTCTGTGGGCCCTGCTCTGAAAGATTCTGTGTGAGGCTCAAGCCCACACTGCATGAGTCTTTGGGGGATGCTTCATATTCCAACCTTGGCAGGGCCAGTGGGTTATCCTGGTGATTTTCAGACGGTACTAGGAGATGATACAAAGGTGTCACCTCAAACCTCACAGTGCCTGTCCCCTTTTTTTCAAATATCAACTAGGGAATTTTCATGAGATCTATAACAAAAATCTTCATCTGACCTTTATATTAAAGCTTTAACTTTATGTCTGGAAATGATGAGCATAGAGAACGTATACCAAGTATAAGAGTAGTTTTTGCAGAAGAGAGGAAGGACAGCCAAAGGGAAGAGAGAGAGGATCACATAATGTCAACAGCACAGTGCGCTCCACCTGCCTTCAGGGAGACTGCGCTTTGGGGAGCCGGGAGGCGTGAGACGTGGCACATTCAGGGTCTTCCATTGGCCCTGGTCCCCACATATGGTGTAAGCCTCCCAGCCCACGCACTGTACGTGATTCTGCTGTTCCTAAACACACTTCTAAAATATATGTGCACATTACACAAACAAGCGTTATCTGCTGCTCAACCAAAGACACAGCACTGTGTCTTAAAGCCAGAAAGCAAACCTTTGACTCAGTATGTGTTCACTTTCAACATGGTGCTGTCTTTTGCATTATATATATATATAATAAAATATATAAATGTAAAATATATAATGTATATTTGCATATATAATATAATATATAATATTTGCATATATAATATATCTATTTCTTTGTTTGCAACACTCGGGAGTGAACCCAGTGCTGTCACACTAAACTGCATTCACAGCTCTTTTTATTTTACTTTATTTATTTTTATTTTGACGCAGTGTCTTACTAAATCACCAAATTGCCCTGGCTGGGCACAAATTTGCAATCCTCCCTACCTCAGCCTCCCAGAGTACTGAGATCTTTAAAAATATTTTATTGTATTTTATTTTGGTTTTCTGAGACAAGCTCTCACTATATAGCCCAGGCTGGCCTCCAACTCTTGGCAATTCTCCTGCCTCAGCCTCCCGAGTGCTGGGATTGCATGCATGCACCACTGTGTCGGAATCACTAAGAGATTTTTAAGCACATCTTTGACATTGTGATGTTCACCGTAAGCCCTGGCTCTACACTCACCCGCATGTGTGACACTCCAACCCTGCAGGATTAAATACTGTGTTCTCTTGTATACAAGATAAGACCGTAAAACTGCACTCAGAAAGACAGCCTGGGCCAGGAGTACAGCTCATCAGCACAGCACCTGCCTGGCAAGTGCCAGGTCATGAGTTTGACTCCAGGCACCACCACCAACAACAAAAGGCAGCCGTATGAAATCAGTGAGACGCTGAGGACATGCTGTATGCAGAAAGGGGATTAAATCAAATGTGGTGTTTGACAGCAGGGAAGGGACAGCGAGGGATTCCTGCAGGGATTCCCGTGTGTGGTAGAAGATCTGGGCTGTGGTTAGATTCAAGATGCGCTGAGACAAAAAGCCAGGACGGTGGCTCCCAGAGCCTGCGATTCAGTCCCTGGTGGGACAAAGGACTTCAGGTGGCGGGAGTACCTGGCGTGAGGCAGATGACCTTGCCGCATCTGGTGAAGTTAGTCTCCTTTGTTTCTTTCTTTCTTTTTTTTTTTCAATCTTTACCCAATGCCAAGGAGAAAGGCAAAGGTAAGGGCGCTAAGATATTGTGCACATTCCTAACCCTTGCTACCGTGTCCCTTTCATCAGACACTGAGGGCTTCTGTGGCGAGAATCCCAGCATCTGCACACAGGGATACCTTCAGCCCCTCTTCCTGTGCTGCTTGTATCCTATGAATGCTTTCCCTTGCCAGATTGTTCTGGCTAAACTTTCAGGAAATTCTACAGGAGTGGACAGGAGTGGTGACGGTGGACATCTTAGTCCAGGTTCAGATTTTAAAGGGAACCCTTTCAGGGTTTCCTCATTCAGTGTGATGCTGTCTTGTGCATGTCACGCGTGACTTTTATCGCTTTAAGGTAAAGTCCTTTTATACCTCTTTTCAGTAGGTGGTTGTTTTTGTTTTTTAATCATGAAGAGGTGTTGGATTTTGTCCTGGTGTTGGATTTTGTTGGATTTTGCACTGGGTTCACTCCCGAGTGTTGCAAACAAAGAAATAGATATATTATATATGCAAATATACATTATATATTTTACATTTATATATTTTATTATATATATATAATGCAAAAGACAGCACCATGTTGAAAGTGAACACAGACTGAGTCAAAGGTTTGCTTTCTGGCTTTAAGACACAGTGCTGTGTCTTTGGTTGAGCAGCAGATAACGCTTGTTTGTGTAATGTGCACATATATTTTAGAAGTGTGTTTAGGAACAGCAGAATCACGTACAGTGCGTGGAAAGGCTTTTTCAGCATCTATTGAGATACTCCTGGGATTTTTTTCCTTTGATGTTATGCATGTGGTGTATTGCTTTAAAATACGTAAATTAATAGATTGAGAGTTAAAGAGAGAGGATAGGAAATTGGGAGGCAGACTTCTGGAGATGAGGACAGGTTCCAGCAGGAGGTAATAGGATTGGGAATGATTCACATACGTGAAATGCATGTACTGACTTCCCAAAATAAAGCCCATCATGAAATATTAACATGCAGCAATGAAATTATTAGAGAGGGGGAGAAAAAGAGACCAGGCCAGCTGGGGACTTGCCCTGCAACAAGCTTCAAGCCATTTAACTGAAGAATCAGTTGCACGGTTCCTTCTGTAGGCAGGTGAGGCAAGCGGCTGCCAGCCCACAATTTTCTCCTCGATAAATGTGACTGTGAATGCAAGCTGATTCCTTTTTCATCAGAAGTCTGTAGACTGTGATACGGTACACGGGGTGGGGAGTCAGGTGAGAATGTTACTGAGCCAGGCCCATTTTGCCCACCGTGGAGTATGCTAGTCACCGAACTGAGTTTTGCAAAAGAAAAAGTGTCTATTTGAGAGGCAGCCAGCCTTGGAGACAGGAGAGTAGGTCTCTGGCTCCCCAAGGATAAAGCCTGGGGTGTCACGGACTGAGGCTGGGGAGAGATGGTTGGAGGTTAACTAAGAGCAAGTGGTGCAGGCTGTCTAGAGGATTTGTCCGGAGTGTCAAGTGAATGCAGATAGTGGGAAAAAGACTGGATCTGGGAACACATAGCATGCTGTTAAAAGGACCCATGCCTGGGCGTGGTGGTGCGCATCTATAATCCTAGCACTTCGGAGGCTGAGGCGGGAGTGGTGCCATGAGTTCAAGAAGACCTGAGCTGCATCATGAGACCGTGTCTCACAAAACAAGTAAAGGTGGGGGTTAGGGCAGTGGTCCCCAGGAGTCCACCAGCTGCTAGAGAACTCCCTGGAAGGCTGGCTCCTGTCAATATTGTCACACAGTGCCCGGCCCAGAAGCCCCCTCCTCCTTCTGGTAGGCTGCCACAGGCCCTCTCCACCCTCGAACAGACCAGGGACCCCAGGGCAGGAGCAGCTGTGCACACTCTTGACAGCTGCTCGCTTGGCACAGATGTGCCCCATCCTGAGCCCCACGCAGCCGCTGGCACGGGCAGCACCTCTTCTGGTATTTGTCCTCCAAGTACAAAGTCTCCTGTTGATACCTGGTGTCCCGTGTGTCCCCTGCAGGTCAGCCATCACCATATTTCCCCAGAGGACAGATGGCAAGCACGACTTCCGAGTCTGGAACGCCCAGCTCATCCGCTATGCCGGCTACAAGCAGCCCGACGGCTCCACCCTGGGAGACCCTGCGAATGTGGCGTTCACAGAGGTGCGAGCTTGCGAGTGTCACCCACCCCACCCCACCTGGGCTCTCAGGTTCCCAAGCCCTTTATCTACATACTAGCATGTACCATTACTCTCCCAGGGAGAGCAGCTAGCAGGTAGCAGGCGACCCTTGCCCAGATCTGCACCTCCATTGGGCTGCCCAGTCCCTTCTGGATCTTTTCTCGATGGGCATTTGGTCATTTTCATGCTGGGACCCCGCCCAACCCTCAGGACAGAAACTGTTGTCTCATTTCTTTTTGTTGCCCCATTTTATAGTTGGGTAGACTGAGTCTCACCAATGCCAAGTGAAGTACACACCACTCTTGCTGGTAGCTGTGTCCATTCCTAACAGCCACCAGGAAAGTTTGCACCACCATCCCCCTTCCCATTCCTTCCAGGTGGTCACATCAACAGGTGACACAGGCGAGGCCTGGGACTGTGCCCAAGGGGACACCACAGGCAGACCCCACGCTGGTGCCACCCTTCATCTGTCACTCAACCAAGCTGTTCCTTTTCCTCTCCTCAAACCCCCTCCAACCCACCGTCCCCTCCTCCAGGAAGGGGCTCACAAGGGGCCCAGGGCCCTCCGCCCGGCCCCCTCGCTGCGGACTTCACCTGCGGGTGGTTGTTCTTCCCAGGGAAATGTGATTATCCGGGAGGAGGGGGCTGTAACCAGGGCAACCAGGAGTCGCACCTGTGCAGTGTGAGACTCGGCCAAACTCACTGGCCCACTTGGCAGAGCGCTGACGGTGTACTTGGCCGACCTTGCTTGCGGTAGCAGCACATAAACACCACAGCCTCCTGCATTCGGGACCAGGACACGCTCTCCGGAGGCCAGGACCCAGCACGCTAGCTCTGCACGCACAATCATCCCAACCCTGCCGCGGGATTACACCTCAGAAACCCTGTAATCCTGGCCGTCCAGTGGGCAGCCCCTGCGGTCGGTGACTGCCCAGCAGTTCGAATGTAGCCGGTTCAGCCAGGCGTGCTAGTACGTAATTCTGCCTAATTGTAATTCTGGGAGGCTGAGGCAGGAGGAGTGCAAGTTGGAGCCCAGGCTGGGTGAACCAGCAACTTACCAAGACCTGCCCCTGTCTCAAAATTAGAAGAAAATAAAACATAAAGAGCTGCAAATGTAGCTCGCTGTGAAGTCCTTGAGTTTAACCTCCAGTACCAAAAAAAAAAAAAAAAACGCCAGTTCAAAAAAATATTTTTCTGATGCCAGGGATTGAACTCAGGACCTTGCACTTGCCAGGCAAGTGCTTATGTCGTTGAGCTGAATCCCCGGCCCACTAATTCAAATTTCCATGAAGATACATACTAGCTCGCCAAAACTAACAACAAAAAGACAGTGGAAAGTAGCACATGTTTCAGTCTTGTATCAAAATGATAATACAGCTATAGTAGATCAATATATCAGTCAATTAATATGCTTACCAGACTGATAAGTCAAAACATTAACTATATTATTTGGACATATTCACATTAATAATATATCAGTAATGAATTAATATTAATATTTAGTGATTTTCAAAATGTTATATACTAAACATTTGATATAGACTAAATATTTAATCACCTAATATATGGTTAGAATATATGGATAGTAATACCTCAATACATGAGTAATAAACAAATGCTTACATGGGATATATTGTTGAATTTTAAATTCATTATTCAAAATAAATCGCCGGATGTGGTGGCGCACACCTGTAATGCCAGCACTCTGGAGGCTGAGGCAGGAAGATCGGGAGTTTAAGATCAGCCTGGATACATAGCAAGACCCTAAATCAAAACAAACAACAAGAAAGGAATACGTTAGTAACATTATTTTAATTCATGGCTTTCCCCCCTTTCCCTTAACGTAGCCGCTAGGAATCGTTCCTTCTGTGGCTCTCACTAGTATATTCCGTGGACAGCCGCCCTCCACACTGGGGAGAGTTAGACCCGCCCGGCCTGGTCCTCGGGAATCCCCTCCCCCACCTCACCCCAACGCTGTGGCATTCGGAGGGTCCCGGATGTGACACCTCCGGGGGTCTCTCTGCAGATCTGCATCCAGCAGGGCTGGAAACCCCCGAGGGGCCGCTTCGATGTCCTGCCGCTGCTGCTGCAGGCCAACGGCAACGACCCCGAGCTCTTCCAGATCCCGCCCGAGCTGGTGTTGGAAGTGCCCATCAGGCACCCCAAGTAAGAGGGGCCCTGCGGGGAGGGCCCCCCCAAGCCCTCTCTGTCCAGCGCCCTACCCCTGGCTCTCTCTGCAGCCACACCCAGGCTGCCAGCGGGTATCCTTGGTTTGTAGCCTCCCTGGGAGAGTTGGGGGACAGAGTGGGCTCCTTCTCCTGGCACCCTGGCACCCTGGCACCCTCCTCTTTCTGAATCAGATTCTCCTTCTCCCCCGGAAAGCTATCGATCACCCATGACCGGCCCTTTGCCCAGCCCTGGGGCCTGAAGAGCAGAGCCACCCCCTGTCCCAGGGTGGTGCAAACCTGCAGTAGAGAAATCCACTTAGCACCCTGCTGACCGGGGTGGATGGCGCCAAGGGCATCTGGCTCTGGGCAGGGACTGTGGAGGCAGAGTCCAGCAGCGCAGGCAGCCTTGTCCCTTGGAGCGGAGGAAACCCACAGCCAGGCTCTAGACTCAGGCATGAGGTGGAGAAAATCGCTAAAAACTCAAAAAATAGGATCAACAGTATGTAAACGCGGTGTATTTTTTTAAGTCAATGTTAGTTTTTTTAAGAAATCCGTGGTAAAGAAAGAAATCCGTGTTGAGCTCTCTGGAAACATTATAAACTGCAAAATCCAGCTCACAACTGAGACCAGCAGGAGAGGCCCCAAGTGCATCACCCAGGGAGGGCAGGGCCCGGGCTGTCTATGCTTTTGTTATTTTGTTTATCATATCTGTATCCATGGTATTCATTTGCCTTCTTTTTTTAAATTGCACTAATTCAAAATATTCCATGAATACGCAGTACTTTCGATCTGGATTATGGAGCCTGTCTGGTCTGCCTTAAACTTTGTGCACAGACTGGCATCTCACGTCCCACGCTTTCTCCCGAGCCCTGGATGGGAAGCGGTGACCTGACACCCCTCAGGCCGCCCCGTATCTAGAAGCGCAGCCTGTCTTCTTGTTGAAACTTGACCTTCATACATTCATTCATTTTTTTGGCTCAATCAACAGTTTATCGTCTCCACCCCCTGTGCTAACTTTTGACTTGGTCCTTGGCTATGTGGTTTTCCTGTCTCCAAAAGAAGAAGCTCATATATATACTGTACAGTGGCTCAATAATTAATCCCAGTAAAGCGTTACAGAGGAAATTTCCTGGCGTTTAGAAGCAGAAAGTCACCTGGACCCAGTGACACACCAGGGAGACTTTTCCAGAGTGAGCAGCATTTTAACTAAGAGTTAAGTGTAGATAAGAGATGGAAACACGCAGGGGAAAGGATAAGACCCCAGGAAGGAGGAACTGCCTATGTAAAGGCCCTGGGGCAGAGAGAAATTCTATGGGCTGCAGAGGAGTGAGGTCTGCACACTTTCTCCAGACTCACTCTTGGGTAGGTTTGATAGACCAGCAGCAGCCTTGGGCAGTGGTTCCAAACCCTGGATGTCCACCTGAATCTCAGAGGGACCCTGTGTTGCAAATGCATATTCTCAGGCCCCAGCCTTGCACAGAATCCAGTCCAGACATAGACCCAGTCCGTCCCCCATATCAGCCACCCCAGAGAAAGGATGTCACCTCTTTCCTCATTGGTGCACCTTGCCCCGTGCTGAGCTGGGCTGCCTGACTCCCCCAGGTTTGACTGGTTCAAAGACCTGGGCCTGAAGTGGTACGGCCTCCCCGCCGTGTCCAATATGCTGCTGGAGATCGGCGGCCTGGAGTTCAGCGCCTGTCCCTTCAGTGGCTGGTACATGGGCACAGAGATCGGTGTCCGAGACTACTGTGACAGCTCGCGCTACAACATCCTGGAGGTAAGGTCCCCTGGGGTCCCCACAGAGACACACAGAAGGCAGAGGATGCCGGCTCGCCACCCAGCTTTGCAGTCTGGACACTCCCTAGTACTGCACAAAATAAAATAAAATAAAACAGAATGAAATAAAATCCACAGATGCCCACATCCTTTATATAAAAAGCACCATGTTTGCACATAACCAAAGCACACCCTCTTGTGTATTTTTTTTTCTGCTGTATACTTTAAGTCAAATACAAGGTAAATGCTGTGTACTTAGTAGTCACACTCTACAGGGTAGGGAATGATGCACAGACAGCAAGAAATGTCTGTATGTGGTCAGTACAGATGCAGTTTGTTTTCAAATGTTTTCCACCCAAGATAGTTTGAATCTGTGGGTGTGTAGCCTAAAGAGAGGAGGGGCTGCCGGTTGATACCGTTGTTCGGTGCATGTTTATTTGTTTGTTTATTTTGGCACTGATCTCTTTCATTCAAGATAACATCTGTGCCATTCGCCCAAGTTATAGCTCCTCGGTCATTCAGAGCCCGCATGTCACCTTCTCATTTCATTCTTGATGTAACAGTAATCCCATTTTACAATTGAAGAAACTGAGGCTTTTGGAGGGATCAAGTGACCAGAGCTCAAGGTCATGTGACATTTCTCCCCAGCTAAGCATTCTTGTGTTCTAGAGTTCCAGGACAGAGCTTCCTGAAGCTCAGCTTTGGGGAAAGTATCAGAATTGCTATATTTTGCTTTGATTTAAAGTTTTGGGTTTTGGAGACAGGATCTCACTATGTATCCCAGGCTGACTTTGAATTTGTAATCCTCCTGCCTCAGCCTCCCACGTGCTGTGATTGCAAGAGTGTACCACCAAGCCATGTTTAGGATTGCTTTGTTTTTGCCAGCAAATGTCCACAGCCAGATCTGTTGCTGTTGGCTTTGTTTTAAAAGAGAACACAGAGAAACAGAGAAGTTAAGTGCTGGACCTCTGTCACATAATAATTAAGATGCAGAGACAAGATTAGCACTCAGGACCAAGCATTAGGTTTATGTTATTAAAATCCACCAGTGTTACCCTGGAAGACAGAGAGCAGGGTTCCTCCGCCTTGCCAAACCTTGGGGTTACCTTGGGAGCTTGAGGCTGCCCGGCTTCCACCCTCCAGGATTCAGATGGTATCAGTCTGGGGTGGGGTCTAGCTACCAGCAGTTTTCAAAGCTCCACAGAAGGTTCTGCTGAGCAGCTGCCAACCCACACTAACTTCTGGCGGAACGGAGAAGATAACTAAGCAGTTTCCATTGATGGCACTCAAGTTGCATTTGGGGCTTTTAAGTCATACATTGTTTTCTGCAAAATAATGCTACAGAATAGTGCTAACTGCAAGGCTGGCTGCACACACCTCACTCTCACCCCTGACTCGGGTTCTGTAGGAGCTTACTCGAAGCAGCATCCGAGTGTCACTTCCTGCAAATGCCTCCCGGACGGGGCCAGATCCCGCAGGCGTGGCCTCCCAGGCGACTTAGGCAGTTTCTCTCAGCTGTCTGTGCACGTTCCTGTGCGAAGTCCCTGGCTAACTTCAGTGAGCCTCTCCGAGTCCAGCCTTTGTATACAGACAGTGAGTGACCACGGGGGCCAGAAAGCAGTTTCCCCAAACCTGAGAGAAAGGCTGCATTCCAGCCCTGTAATGAGACCTGGGTCCCCTTGTGCCTAGCACTGGGAAAAGTCAGGCTTTCATGAAGGAAGGTGTTCCTGGGCGACAGATTCTTCACGACATGAGTGGTTTCCCGTTCATTCGTTCTGCCAGAGGTGTCAGCTGGGAAGGAGGCAGCTCTCGGTCTTGGATGGGAGGCACCCCGTGGCTTCCCTTCTAAGGCCCACAGGCTCCAGGAACCTGGGACAAATTCAGGTACCTTGCTGGGCCTTGGTTTCCCCAGTCGTCAAATGGAGTCCAGCAGGTGTTCCTGGGTGAACTCAAAGCCCACGGTTTAAAGCAGTGGTGGTGACCCTGTGGCACGCATGCCACGGCAGGCTGTTTGTATCAACTGAAATCTCTATGAGGCTCGCCATCACTGGTCTAGAGTCTAAGCAATTACAACTCAAGAAGGGAAAACAGAACAAACCCAAGGGAGCTTTTCCTATTGGGAAGCAAACAATGTTACTCTCAGACTTACGTCTCTGCTTAAAACACTTTAAGCACCCTGCACAGGTAATAAAATCCTGCCTCTCTGACACACTCTTTAAGGTCCTACATCATCCAAGCTTTTCTCCTGCCAACATCCAATTGCTCGCCACCTTCCAAGCACACTGACCTTTCTGTTTCTCAAATGGCCCGAGCCAGACCCACCTCAGGGCCTTTGCACTTGCTGTTCTGTCTGCCTCCAATATCTCCCTCCTCACATCTGCAAGTGTCTTACTTCTTCTCATCTTTTCATTTAGGCCTCACCTTGTGTCCGGTCTCCACAGAGAGCTTGCCCTGGCAACTCTTGCTAAAGCTACACAGTCCACCCACCCATGTTCCTCTTCCTCCCATTTCCTTGTCTTCCTTGCCTCCGAGGAGTTAGCACTTCTCTCTCTCTCTCTCTGTCTGTCTCTCTCTCTCTCCCATTAAAAAGTAAACTTAACAATTAAAGAGCCAGCAGCCAAGTTTTAGTTTCCTGCTGCGTGGAGGTTTTCAGTTAAAAAGAATTCTTTTGAGCAAGCTATCGATCCCTTCAGCCCATGAGTGAGCTGATCAGGTAGCTGAGAAATCCCTAATGACACCAGCCCTGTCCCTCTCTAGTGTGCAGCCCCAAGCTGGCCGGCCCACAAGTCTGTTTCCTTCACTTGCAGGAAGTAGCCAAGAAGATGAACTTGGACATGAGGAAGACGTCCTCGCTGTGGAAGGACCAGGCGCTGGTGGAGATCAATATCGCCGTCCTCTACAGCTTCCAGGTAGGTAGCGCCTGAGTGCCCCCCAGGCCCAGACCCAGAGGGGAGCAGGCGTCCTCCAGAGCGCCAGGAGAGCCAGCTACCAGGAACGACCTGCAGGGGGCGTCTGTCCCCCAGCGTGGCTGCTTCCCGCCCACTCGCGCTCCTGTTTTCTGGGCATCATTTAGTGAAAGACAAAAAGGCGATGGGGGATGTGACGTGTTGCTTTTGATTCTTTAGAATTGGGATGACAGGTGTCGTCTGTGTCTTGTCATCTCAGGGATCAAACTCTCAAACTGTCACATAAAGAAATAAGGACGCATCCTCATTATCCGAGCCACAGAGGCCCCTGACAAGTGGCATTATGATGGGCTTGCCAGGAAAATCATCATTGAAGCCCATGACACTTTTGAGAGCACAAGGAGACACCGTTCATGATGCCAGGACAACAGACATCAACCAGGATTCTCTGGTTTTTGCGAAGCAGGGACCTACAGAATAGAGATCGCTGTCATAGATGCTACTCTGTCCTTGGAGTGGCAGTGCCCCGTGCGGGCAGCTAGGACCCACAGGTGTTCTGAGGCACACAGACAGTCGGATAAGCAGGTCCCAAGCAGACCAGGGAGGGGTAGCGGGTGAAACCACAGGAGAAACCCCTTTTCCTCGTCACTGAGGCCAAGGCCTGACTCCTACAACTTAAAGGAGGGTGGGTTTATTTTGATACAGTTTGTAGAGGTTTCAGGCTATAGTTGATTGGCTCCAAGGCAGGACAGCCTGGCAGAGGGATGGCAAACAGGAAGTGGAGATGGAGGGAGGGGCTGGGCCCCCTCCAGGCCACGCCCCAACCGGAAGAGGGCCCCACCTCTCCCACCTGACCCCGCCTCCTAACAAGAAGCTGTAATCCAGTCACCTACCAAAGCCCCACCCAAGGGTGCATGAGAGCTCAGTGGGGCAGCTAGATCTAAACAGGATTGTTCCATATCAGGGAGAGAAGTTGGGAGGCTGAGGCAAGAGGATCACAAGTGTGAGCCTGGGCAGAATAAAGAGGCTGGGGCTGTAATTCAGTATGAAGGTCCTGGTTCAATCTCAGGGCCAAACAAAGAAAGAGGGAAAGAGAGGGAAGGGGATGCATAAGAAGTGGGTAAGGCTTTTGTGGGGAGAGACAACAAGTGAATTCAAACTCTGCCACCCGAGCACACCCCAGACCTTCCATCCACCACTTTGGTGGTTTTTACTGGTTTTCTTTTTAATCAATTCAGCTTTATGCTTTAAAACTTTGCTACAAGGATTTTATGTCACCATTACAAAGGAAGATTCCCTATCTCTGCCCCTAAATAAAAAGTAATTGTAATGCTAAAGAAATATACAAACAAACACAAGGAAAACAGAACCAAGTTGTTTGAGCCAAGCTCATTGGCCTGTGGGTTCCTCCCAGCTATAAAGTGGGGTTCAGGGGAGGAAGGGAGACGGGCAGGACTATGAGAAAGATGTCAGGGACACATTGGCACCCCCAGAGGTCTCTCCGGGGAGAGTCAGGAAGACTGAACGGGAAATGTGAACGGACCCCTGTCCTGCTTAATTCTTCACGGAATCATCACCGGGATTCCGCACCTTTGAGAGAGGAGCCTACTGGGGAAATACCCCGCTTCTCTGACCTCCCCACTCCTCATCCCCTCTCCTCTCACAGAGCGACAAAGTGACCATCGTTGACCATCACTCTGCCACCGAGTCCTTCATCAAGCACATGGAGAACGAATACCGCTGTCGTGGTGGCTGCCCGGCCGACTGGGTGTGGATTGTGCCCCCCATGTCTGGCAGTATCACCCCCGTCTTCCACCAGGAGATGCTCAACTATCGGCTCACGCCCTGCTTTGAGTACCAGGTCTGGCTGCCCCGCCTGTGGCCTACCAGGTCGTCTGCATGCGGTGTGTGTGTGATGCTCAGAGCGCATCTCAGCTCAGGCCAACGCTGTGGACACACAGGTGCCCATTTGCCTGCTGTGACCTGTGGCTCCTGCACTGTGTGGCACAGGTTGAGCTGAAGGAGCCGTGCACACAGAATGAGAGGGCAAGGAGAGACTTTGATGCCCTGACATGGTAGCGCACTCCCAGAGTGTTGTCCCAGCACTCTGGGAGGCTGAGGCAGGAGGATTATATATTTGAGCCCAATCTGGGCAATGTAGAGGCTTGCTGAGACCCTGTCGCAAAATAAAAAAAGGCTGGGGTATAGTTCAGTGCAAAGGCCCTGGGTTCAATCTGCAGTACCACAGGAGGAGGAACAGGGTTCGTTTGGGAGGGATCAAAGGCTGAGCAGAAGGACGGAAGGCTGATGCGAGAAGGTTCCCATGGCTACCGTATCTGAGGCTTGGGCAGCCAGGGAGTCCGGGCGTCTCCGAGAGCAGCCACACCCTTGCAGCAGTGACCAGATCCCGTTCTTCTCTTCCCAGCCCGATCCTTGGAACACCCACGTCTGGAAAGGAACCAATGGGACCCCCACCAAGCGACGAGCCATCGGCTTCAAGAAGCTGGCAGAGTGAGTGTCCTGCAGGGGCTGGGGGTGCCCACAATTCACAGAGCCCCAGAAAAGGGGGCCGGGCAGAGGCTGTGCCCTCTGACCTCTTCACGACAACCCCGTGCACCGTCTTTGCCTGAGCAGGACAAGAATGTTTCTGTAGCTGCTCTCAGGGTTACTTCCGGACCCCAGTCTCCCCCATGCTTGTCCTGAAGGCAACAGTGTGTTGGGGAGCCGGCTCCCCTGGAACAGCCACAGTGACACCTTGCTTTGTAATGTGCACCCATTTCTGTGGTGTAAGCATTCCCACTGAGGCCAATTTCAGCGGGAAGTCATGAGCCCAGAAGTAGAAAGAAACCTGCCCCCCACCCCTGCCCTGCATGGGTGCACACACAAGCGTATGCACACATGCACGCACACACACACACACACACACACTCGGCCTAGGGAGCGCTCAACTCTGATTATACGCACTCACTTGTCTACACCAGCAAATGAGTACCAAGTGTCCTCTCTATGCTGGGCACCATGCTGGGCTCCAAGGGAAACATGGTCTCTGCTCACACAAGCTCACAACCATCCTGCCAAAGACTCACTCAAATACAGTAAACCCCGCAGCTGCAGTGGGTACCTGAGAGCAGCTACACTCTCGAGGTCAGGTAGTCAGGGTGGGCGCCCCTGAGGAGGTGACAGCTGATCTGAAGAACCAGATGATAAGGTTTTGCTGAGCACAGAGAGCCGTGGATGGAGGGGGAAGAGCCCTGGAGACCCTGAAGGGTCTCGCAGGTCCTGGCCCCGTGAACACAGCCCCTGGGCGCTTTCTCCACCCTCCAATCACATTGGCAGCACCATGTCCTAAGCAGGAGATCCCGAACGTTCTGAGCAGAGACAACCTCTGGCTTTCGTTCAGCTCCCCCATCTCCAGGAAAAGGGGAGGATTCATCTAAAGCCTTAATTGCACTATTAGGTTGGGGGTGGGAACAATAGAGTTAATTATAGATGCCGATTTATGCTCGGATCCTGCCAGGAGCCTCCAGGCACCTTTTATCCTGTTCAGTTCCCCCTGGCTGAGCTCTCCCTGCCGCGTGGGTGGTTTGCCTAATTCTCAGAAATGATAAATTTACCACCAAGAAGCCCCAGGTGGGAGATAATTAGCCATTTGTCTACACAGAGATTCCTAGTAAGAATAGGAGGGACTGCCCGGAGTGGAGCCCAGGTATTCCCTGCATCGCTGTCAGCAGAGAACGAAAGGTTTGGGGTTCTCTGCTTAGCTGGCAAGAGGTAACACTTGACGTTTAACCTGCTCAGGGCTTAGATAGTAGTGTCTCTTTAAAAGTCCTAATTTCTTCTGCTAGATTTTAATTTAGTATCTATTAGGTGCCAGATCTGTGGAAGACCTGGGATGTGTGTTGCTCAGTAACATAACTGGGGCCATTCCTCTGAGGTTCTATAAATCTCCAAAATCCCGCTCACTGGATGCCTAGTGAGAGCCTACTGATTTGTGTCTCTGTCTCAGCCGCACACGCACACAAGCACACACACACGCACGCACACACACACACACAGCTTGTCCACAGCTATATTTTCTATGTCCTTTAGGTCCTGAAACACAGTGGATAGACACACAAATATTTTATGAATAAATGCTCACCTTCAAGGCAGTGCTTGGGAAGCCAAGGGCTCAAGCAATCCCATGGCAAACTAACAAAACCAACCAATTAATTTTAACTTGTGCTAAGTACCCTAACCCTAAGTAACCCAACCGATCCAATAGAGAAGCCAGTACAGGACCCAAACTCAGGAGCTCTGAGCGCCTCTAAGGGACCCCTCGAGCCACCAGCAGTCAGGAAAGTAAATTCTGTCTTGTCCAAGTCCACAGGTCTTGGCTCTGACTCAGAAGTCCCAGCCTGATTCTCCTCCTCCTCTTTCCCATTTCTTTCTCTCCATCTCTCCTTCCCAGAGCCGTCAAATTCTCGGCCAAGCTGATGGGGCAGGCCATGGCCAAGAGGGTCAAAGCCACCATCCTGTACGCCACAGAGACGGGCAAATCACAAGCCTATGCCAAGACCTTGTGCGAGATCTTCAAGCACGCCTTCGATGCCAAGGTGGGTGGGGTGGCGCCAGCCTCCCAGGCCTCTGTGGCAAAGGAAGTTGGGAAGGGCCCGGGGAAGCCAACAGACGAGAGCCTGGGACTGCAGGTGACAGCACCCAGAGGACACACACACATTTGGGGAAATTTAGGTAACCGTGATACCCACCCTCAGGAGCCCTCCAGGAGTCCAGGAATCTCAAACAAAGCTCCTCTCTGGAAAGAGAAATGTTAGCAACATTGGACCCCCAGATCATTCTGGGATCAGTTTGGGCAGCTCTACACGAAACCCAGCTCCATGGATTTCATTGCTGTAGGACTTCTCAGAGCCTTTAGTCTAGGAACACGTACTATAATCTCCAGCAGAACCGCAGGAGGCTGATCCTCCTTAGAACCTGGGCTTGGAAACATTGTGCCTTTGATGCTAACACACAAGGCAACAATCTTTCCCCCAGGCAAGTTCTCAGACTTGTCTGGCCCAGCCTGAAGGGATCAAGAACTCAGCAGCAGTGGGCTGTAAGAACCCCCAGGGCACCCTTCAAGATCTCCCTTCTGGAGCCCACCATTGGACAGTGGGCCAAACTCCTACAAATCCCTCAGTCCACAGTGCCCATCAGAAAAAACCCCTGTTACCCAGGAGCTGTAAATTTGACCCACTGGAGCCCCTTCAAATACCTGATTCCCCATTCAATGATGGTGTCGCAAAATGATTCCCCTTTTTCGCTTTCTTTCTCTGCTCTCTTTCCCCCACTATTTTTGCTCCTCCCCTCCCCCACCACCCCACGCCTCTGCCGCGCCCCCTAGGTGATGTCTATGGAGGAATATGACATCGTACACCTGGAGCACGAAGCTCTGGTTCTGGTGGTGACCAGCACCTTCGGCAACGGGGACCCCCCTGAGAATGGGGAGGTGAGAGAACCCTCTCCTGTTCTAGTGCGAGGCTCTGGCAGCAGCAGCGGGGCTCCCCATGGGATCAGCCCCCTCACCCCTCAAAGCCGGTGATTCAGCTTGTTACAAGTTCCGCCACGACTGGACAATTTCCAGTTCTCAGTCTGTTGGTGTCCACTGGCCAAACAGTCCGGAGTAAAAGTCAGTGTGTTTGGAGTGGGTGCTCCAATCATGAGTTGGTCTCCCTGCTCCAGAGATGAAGCCAGTCATTTTATAGAGGCAGTGGTAGAGAGCTTTTGCAGGGTAGGGGGATCCATGCCTCTAGTTCCTTCCACAGCTGGCCTTGTGCCGCACCCGAAACTTAAACATCACTGCCCATCTGCATCTTTGACCATCCCTGACATCCGGCCCTTAGGCAGCAGACTCCTCTTTTACCAGCTGGGTCCCCAGACCTTGCGCCTGACTGGGCTCCAGGTGTTCTAACACACATTTCACGTTGTGCTCATCTGCTTTGACTTCCAGAAATTCGGCTGTGCTTTGATGGAAATGAGGCACCCCAACTCTGTGCAGGAGGAAAGGAAGTAAGTGGATGATCCCCTCAATGCCACATGTAACCCCCCCCCCCCGGGTAACTGATAATTGTCTTTTGGAGCCTGAGGTTCACATTTGAGTTCTGGCTCGCGGTAACGGTGACCCAAAGTCCATCAGAGACCAGAGGGAGGGGTCTGAGGTCCACTGGGGCTGATATTTTGTCTGACTAAAATCACATCCCAGCTCCATGCCTCAGTTTCTTTTTGTGTCAAGAGGAGATTCTAACACCCCGCTTTACATTCTGGTAAGAACCAAATCAAGAAATAGATGGAAGAGCTCGGGGAGAGTTCCGCACCCAGTGTAGGATCAGCGCTTGCTTTGGAGACCCGCATTCAGCGTCAGGGAAAGCTGCCTGGCTCCTGGGGACTTTTCTGTCCAGTGCTCACGGTGGACTTGTGGTTCGTGTGTGATCCAAGCTCAAAGCCCAGCTGAGGTAGCCTTGAGAGACACACAGACCTGCAGATGTTTGCAGAAAAATCACATCTGACCCAGGGCTGGGGAAAGGCAGTTCTCAGCAAGAAAGTGCCTGTCACCAAGCTTACCCTCAAAACGCCCTGGCATCCACCATGACGTGTAGGACACAGGGCCTTGCCCAGGGAACCACTGTTCCCTGAGTCCAAGCTCCTTTGGAGGCTGAGGCAGGAGGATTGAAAGTTTGAGGCCAGCCTGGGCAACTTAGGAAGGCCCCATGTCAAAATAAAATTGACTTAAAAGGCCTGGGGGTGTCACTCAGTGGGCGTGAACCCCTGAGTTCCATCTCCAATATCTACCAAAGAAGGAGGCTAATCCCGGAGCCAGCTGGTGGAGACCATGTCGTGCCAAAAATTGCTCCTGGTTCTCTCTGTGCTGAGCACACATTGCCAAACCTACTATGCTGGAATCTTGGGGGACGTGTCCAGCGTCCCGGGCCTCACCCTCTGCACACTGCCCTTCCCAGCCATCCTGGGTGGCCTCCCACAGGCCCCCCTCACCCCTCCTTCAGGGAGAGAGAGGGCACCAACCGTTCTCCCCTCTAGGTACCCGGAACCCTTGCGTTTCTTTCCCCGTAAAGGGCCTTCCCTCCCCCGGGGTGACACTGAAGTCCACGGTCTGGCTGCAGCCCGTGACAGCCAGCACAGGTAGAGTGTGTGTGTGCACATGTGCATGTGTGTGCAAGTATGTGTGTGCACGTGTATGCGTGCATGCGTGTGTACGTATGTGTGCATGTGTATGCAGGCATGTGTGTGTACATGTGCGTATGTGTGTACATGTGCGTGTGTGTGCACGCACGCACCAGTGTGTATGCATGCCCAAAAGCTGAGCATCCCTGGCTGCATCGGGTCTCAAAGAGACCTGCGTCCTAACCCACTAATCCACTCGATGACCTTGAACACATCTGGACTCTGTGGCCCTCAGTCTTTCCTCTCTGCTCAATGGGGAGAAGTTTTCTCTTCCCTGCCCTCTGCTGGGGGCTGTTGCCAGGAACTGAGGGATAATCACCACGAGGGGGAAGCATTTGGAGAAACCACCAGCTTCATCCAAATACACGTGCTGGTATTTTTACCCCACAACCGTCAACCATGCCTCCCACACTAACAACACAGCCACCCCCTGATATGTGGCATGACTTATTTGGAGAAGTGACTCAATGTGAGACTATTTCAGGGCAGAAAATACACTCACGTATATTTAGAACTTTCCTGATGCCAGAGCAAAACGTTGAAGAACGTCCAGCCGAGATGCCCTGTTGCCAGAATGCATAATTTCTGGAGGTTTTTTTTCTTTTTAAAAATACATTGAGATATGTGTGTGTTGGGTGTTTGTCTTGAATCTGGGGCTTTAGGTTGTTTTTGTTTGTTTATTTGTTGGGTATCGTAGGTTTCACTGTGGGGTTTGTGTGTGTATGCGTGTGTTTCTTTTTCTTTTTTGCTTGTTTTGGTTTGGTTTTGCCTTGTCAGAAAATAAAACGCACCACTTTTAGAGGAAAACTGGAAAACTGGGCCTTTTTTTTTTTTAAATCTCCAAAGGTTTCTGTGACTCTTATACTGCATTTGGGTCCCAGGCTCTCTTCCTTCCCCTTGAAAACAGTTTCATAACATGTGATGTCTTTTCACGCTGGTATCGGTGCTGAACATTTTTTGTGCCCTTGCAATGTGACCAGTGGCCAGCTCTGAGGAGTCTCAGGGCCACCGTCCATGGAGGACAGCACTGACCGGGACAGACCAACACTGTCCACGTGAACATCACACAGCACTGTCACTGCTCGAGATAGCAGCCAGAGCCATCTACGGCCAGTGAGCGCCCAGAGCGCCTGGTGCAGGGAAGAACGGAATTTTTACTGTGTCTCATTCTAATCAGCTTACATGGAAATAGCCAACGTAGCCAGTGGCTGCTGTACTGGAAAGCATGAATCTAGTTCACAACCACTTAAAGTAAATTCTGGGGCCTGGCAAGTTGGTATCTCTTACAAACTGCTTAAAAATGTTGATTTTTAGGCCTTACCTCAGGGCTGCTGAACTGAATCTGCATTTTAGTGAGAGTCCAGGATGATTCTTGTATGATTTGTACTTACGATTTGAGAAGTACTGTCTCATGGCGAGGGGCTGGTGCATTTGATTCCTGACTGATTAGTGATACAACTATTTGTTGCTACGTCCAAAGTTTTCTAAGTCAGGTGTGACCTGACTACCTTTTAAGTAGAGGCAGAGTCAAGTGCAGAGGTGTGTTTATCTCTGCGCTGAATGTGGGGAAGCTGACATATTCTCAAGAGGCCACAGGATGGTGCAAGAAAAGGTTTTAGGATCAGAACCAGTAACTTGAAGATCCAGAGGAGGTGTCGGCCCAGCGGGGAGATCAGGGGCTGCAGAGCTCACAGGTCCCTGTTTATTTTGGTGGGGAGATCAGGGGCTGCAAACCAGAGCTCACAGGCCCCCGTTTATTTTGGCAGGAGCTATAAGGTCCGGTTCAACAGCGTCTCCTCCTACTCTGATTCCCGCAAATCATCTGGTGATGGGCCTGACCTCAGAGACAACTTTGAGAGTGCTGGACCCCTGGCCAATGTGAGGTAAGCAGGAGGGTTCAGGGCACAGGGTAGATCAAGGCTTCTGGGAATAATGGGGTCTAGTTGCCAGGTAGGCTTTGTCATGGGGAATAGGGCCTCCCTTTTCATCCCCATCACCCCACATAAAACCATCCCTGGGTGGTGTCCAGGACCCCTTGCCCATGGAAACACACAGCTCTCCCTATGCATCCTCTCTGAGCGCCCCACCTCCAGGGCTCACCCCAGCATCTGTGCTGAAGGAGATTCACCCCCAGATATTAATCGCCCCAGAGCTGCCCTTCCCAGTGACACCTTGGACACCTGATGTAAATTTCTGGAGATACCCAGCCACGACCCTTGGTCTTCAACCTCGCATGCACATTAGAATCACCTAGGATATTAGCAGTATACCGATGCGGTACCCAAGCCCTGTCTTCAGGGGTTCTGACATAGCTGACCTACAATCTGGCTGAAGCACAGGCCTTTGCCTTTAAATCTCTCTGACTCCAACCTACAGGCAAATTTAAAAATCCTCCCTTAGCTCGAGGTTCCCCCTAAGCACAGTCACCTATCATGAGATAGTTTCAGGGGGCACATGGACAAATCCGTATTTCGTGTTTCAGCAACCACGTATTCCATCTAACAAGCATTTGGAAAGACGTAAGCTGGGATGGCAAACTTTAGTCTCAGGGATATTGGTCAAACTGAGACAAGCCTGGGATATAGCTCAATAGCATAAGCACCTGCCTGGCAAGTGCACAGTCATGAGTTCGATCCCCAGTACCAAAAAAAAAAAAAAAAAAAAAAAAAAGAAAGAAGAAAAAATAAAAAATGAGAGTGATACAGTCAACTCTCTAGGCAGAACATTCCAGCCTCACTGTAAATGTCTCCAGCCTGCACCAGCCCATCCTTCTGCTCAGAGCAATGCTGGGTAGATGACACAGGTCACAGGGTCCCCTAGCTGTTGAAGGATCCTATCCATCAGGCCATTTTTAAAATAGACTTTATTTTTAAAAGTGGTTTTAGGTTGACAGCAAAACTAAGCAGCAAGTACAGGGGGTTCCCTTAGCCCGCTGGCCCCGGCGTCCTGCGCGGACACCCTACACTTGCTAGAATCATTGACCCTTCCCGGTCACATCCTTAGCAGTCAGGGCCCCTGGTGTACCCGAGGAGCCCAGCTTGGGATGGTACATTTTATGAGTTCTGACATCAGCACAGTTTTTAGCTCAACACTGAAACATCACTTCTGGAGTTTTAACAATCAGACCTATTTGTCCCTTATTCAACCTATCACAGCAGGGGTTGGCAAGCTAATAATGCCTGTGAACCAACTCCAGCCTGACCGCTGCATGTTACGGTACAACCCAGGAGCCCAGAATGGATTTTTTTCACAGATGAATTTTTGTAATTTGTATAACGATGGAAAGCTTTACCTAAGAACCCCAGCTAGGCAAGATGTTACCCCCTCAAAAAATAAACCCGTTCTTCTCATTAGTAGACCTGCATTTTAGAAATGGCCCTCAGTTATTATTGTTAATGTTTTTGATATCATCGATTTTTAAAATGGGCCAGAATTTGTTTTCTTTCTTGTTATGTAAGTACCTACATAATGGCTTCAGTTTCACAGTCCTAAAAATATTTGCTGTGTGGCCTCACTTATAAGAAGCTAGTCAGCTGCTGGTTTGGAGATTTAAAATAGGAAGTTTGAAATCATAAGTGAGGATTATGACAGGAACAGAAGTTGACTCCTCGCTGCGGTGCAGGCTGTAGGTCCAACAAAACACAAATTAATGAACCAACCTCTTGGATTGTGTGTTGGCAAACTCAAGAGGTGAATTTCTTAGTCTGTTCCAAAATCTCATAAACTGAGCAGCCGTATACAACATAAATGTCTTAGTCAGGGTTCTGGAGGCCAGGGAACCCAAGATCAAGGCGTTGGCAGGTCCACTGGTGGAAGAGGAGAACTCTGGTCCTTTCAGCCACTTACAAGGCCGCTAATCTCATTTACAAGGGCTTCACCGCCATGACCTAATCACTTCCCAATTCCGTTAGGGTGATGTAGGTTTCAACTGACAATTTTTAGAGGGATACAAACAGTCAGACCGTAACATAAGGGTTATTGGCTAAAAAGTAAAGTGAAGAGGCTGAGAGCCCCTCCCCAGCCTCCGGCTTGTCCCCACCCTCTCCATCTCTGCCACCATCTTGTCCCTGTCGTCCTCAACCAAAGATTCAGGGAGACTGACAGAGCCCGTGTGGAGCGGAGAAAATAGTTCCTCTCCGTGGCAGACCTGGGGTGACTCTAACCTTGAAAGAGGTGTGGAGAGCCCTTGTCCCAGTCAAGGCTTGTTGCTCCATCTCTGGTCCAGAGATTCAGCCAGAGCCAAGTCCCAGAAATGTGGCATTCAGTGGCACCAAGGTGTATCTGTAATCCCAGCCCTCTGAGAGGCTGAGGCAGGAGAATTTCACATTGGAGCCCAACCTGGGCAAGTCAGTGAGAACCTGTTTCAAAGTCTGAAAAAAAGAGACTGGAGATTCAGCTCAATTCAGAGTCCCTGGAGACACACACACACACACACACACACACACACACACACACACACGCCCTAGTGTCTGTAAGACAATACATAAGCAAGAAATTTCCCACACGTCATCCAAAATCGCCCCACCTCAACACGGAGAAAGCCTACATGCAGTTAAGCTCCCTTCTTTCAAACACCAGCGTTTTCCGGAAGGTATCTATCTATGCAGGTAGGCATGGTTATAACCCTCTCATCCCACTGGAAAATCCTGGGTACACACTGACATTCGATGTGTTCCTGACAAGACCTTCTGGTCCCTTTATGAACGCAGGTCACTGGGGTCTCTCCTGTTAGTTTTTGTTAACTTTCTACCTAAAGCTAAGCTAGTTGTGTTGTCGGTAGAACTCAAGCTTTCAAAATGATAAACTTTTCCCCCCATTTATCCAGCTCAGAAAGGGGCATGCAAGAGCCAGCCAGTGGTTCCAGGTCATTACTATCCCCATCTTATCCTCCTAAGAACCTTAGAATTCCAACAGCTTGGATTTTCTCCTAAGGATGATGAGACCCACAGGGCCTAAAAGGAAGGAAGAGGTTCAAAGGCCCTGAGGTGTACAAAAAACATGGCCTTCCACACAGGGGCTTGGGTGGCCTGATCACCATGGGCTAAACACAGTGCTGCTGGAGACACCAGTTATGCCAATCGGCTTGGACTGCCATAGCAAAGTATCCCAGAATGGCGGCTAAAACACCAGATACTTATTTTCTCATAGTTTTGAAAGCTGGAAGTCCAAGATCAAGGTGTCAGCAGGGATGGTTCCTGGTGCGGCCTCTTTTCCTGCCCTGTAACTGGTCATCTTTTGTGGCATTCTGAGAAAAAGTAGGGAAGGGTTCCCTCTTCTTATAGGGACACTGATACTATTGGAGTGGGGCCCCACCCTTATGACCTCATTTAACCTTAATTACCTCCATTAGAGGCCCTGGCGCCACATGTGCAGCTTGATCAAAATATTCGGGAAATGTTTAAACTAAAAAAAAAATCATTACACTGACATTTCCTCTCACTTCCAACACACCTATCCCACCACTCCTGCCACTTTCTGGAGCAGTCCAGACGTCTTCTCTCACGTCTTTAGGAGACGTGGTCAAAAATACAATGAGTCCTGGTGCCCAGTGCATTCAACGGGAAGCAGGCTTGTTGAAATGTTCCAATGGTCCTGATCCAGCTTCCTCACCGAATCTGGTTTTGTGTGGCTATGGCTCTTCCCCAACATCAGGATGATCATGAGAGCTAAATGTTCCAAAACAATTCAGGATGTTGGGGTAGTCACAACAGTGTAACTAAAGACCCTCACGAAAGAGCACGTCCAGAACTACTGCAGAAGGTGGCCAGAACGGGAGAAGTGTGTCCCCAGTGAGACGAGGTGGTTTGAGGGAAATTCGTGACAATGATCTCTTACTGTCATTTTTAAAATATTCACTATATTTTTTAAAACACAGTGCATATACACATTGGAGGTCTAGGGTCCAACTAAGAATTCTGAGAGGACACAATTCAGCCCAGGACACAGACCCTTCTGTGCCCCACTGTGCCCTAGCGATGAGCCTCTGTCGTCTCCTTGGCAGGTTCTCTGTGTTCGGCCTCGGCTCTCGGGCGTACCCGCACTTCTGCGCCTTCGGTCACGCTGTGGACACCCTGCTGGAGGAGCTGGGTGGGGAGAGGATCTTGAAGATGAGAGAGGGGGATGAGCTTTGTGGGCAGGAAGAGGCATTCAGGACCTGGGCCAAGAAGGTGTTCAAGGTAATGTGGGCTCCGAAACTCAGGGGCGGCTGGCCCTGGTGGTGCACGCCTGTGATTCCAGAACTCTGGGAGGCTGAGGCAGGAGACTTACAAGTTGCAACCCAGCCTGAGCGTGTCCTTGTCTCAAAATAAATAAAATTTAGATTCTCTCTACATAGGTACCACTGAAAATTCCACATCTGTTACGATGTTATGAGGTGCACATTGATGTGCTTGGCAGCCCTAGGTGGATAATGGTTTCCATCCTACACACTGCAAACGGTATCCATCATGAGGGGACATCCTGTTGGTTGGCATTGTCCTAATAGGAGGTCCCTAGAGAACAAATGAAACGTGGCCTTGTGTCCGCATGTGGGCGCTGGTTAATCTGGTCACGCTGCGGTCAGGGACTTGAATGGGGATCTCACCTTTCCCTGCTCCTTTCTCTGCCCTAGGATGCGCCCTTATCCACAGCCCCCAGAGAGAGGAGACTGTGCACCCTGCTGTCAGCCAGGGGGTGCTTTTTATCTGGAAAGCAAGGGCAGAAGAGAGCAAAAGGGGAAACAGAGGCTCCTGGGCTGTGAGGGGCCCTGGGGGAGCAGCTGTGTTCAGAAGCCTGTTCCTGTCTTTCAAACCAGATGTGGGGAATTGAGATAACTCGGATTTTTCACACTTGAGATCCCTGTATGGTTAGGGTTTCAGTTAGCCAACCTGTACGGAGCATCCCGGAATTAAGACAGGTTCACACCGCTGTACCCTTTAGCTGTCAAGCTGTTCTCCCATGACACTCTGGGTTCTCGTGATCACAAGTCTAACTTCTGTGTCTATAGATTTCCCTGTTCTGTTTGCTTCAGATGAATGGAACCAGGGGATAGGTGACTGGCTTCTGCCACTCAGTAGAATGTTTTCCGGTTTATTTATGTCATAGCACTTGACCAAGTAATATTCCATAATATGAAGATGCCACATTAAACACTTGAATTGCTTTACAATCAGCACAAGGCCAAACATTGGTAAAACTACCCTAAAAGGGCCAGGGATATAGCTCATAAGCATATCTGCCTGGCAAGCACAAGGTCCTGAGTTCAATTCCCAGTATTGGAAAATAGATTTTTATTAAAAACTAGTTCTGTAGTAACGTGTACCTGTAGTCCTAGCTACTTGGTAGATCACTTGAGCCCAGGAATCCGAAGCTAGCTTAAGAAAAATAGAATCCAACTCAAAAACAATAGCAAAAATAATAATTGAGCAATAATTCTTAGGATTATTAACACCAAAGAATGAGTGAGTTTGATTTTAAAAAAAGAAAAATGCAAATCCAGACATCCAGCATTTTTGTCTTTATATAATTTTTTAAATATTTTAAGGAAGACAAATAGGAAATTCTATGATATTTACTTTCCTCTTTAATGTTAAGCCTCTATGCAAGTTGATTTTAGAAATAAATTTCAGCATAGAGTTATAGGGTAAGTAAAGGTTAAGTCATAAAGTTAATGGTAAACATGATGTGCTCAGTATATTGAGGGTATTTTAAAAATACAGGATAGGTGGACAGATGCGTGGATACATGGCTGGGTGGTAGGGAGGGTGTGGTGGATGGATGGATGGATGAACAGATGGATTGTGAATGGATGGATGGACAAATGGGTGAGTGGGTGGGTGGAGGGATGAAATGATGGATGGATGGATGGATGGAGGGATGGAGGGATGAGTGAGTGTGTGGAGAGGTAAAGGAAGAAGGAGGAGAGGAGACAGGCAGAGTTGGAGGGCAGGAGGAAGGATGCTGAAATACATCCCGTGACCTGGAGCTCCGAGGCAGGAGCCCCTCTCAGCCGAAAGCAGTCACCGGAAGCCTCTCGTGTCACAGGCAGCCTGTGATGTGTTCTGCGTGGGGGATGACGTCAACATCGAGAAGGCGAACAACTCGCTCATCAGCAACGACCGCAGCTGGAAGAGGAACAAGTTCCGCCTCACCTACGTGGCCGAGGCACCGGAACTCACCCAAGGTACCGCGCACCGCGCTCCCGGGGAGGTCCTGGGGCCAGGGGGGGAGGATGGACAGGCCAGGAGGGGGGAGAAAGTGGCTTCGTGGCTCTGGTCTCTGATGCCGTCTTCCCATGATGAACATGCCCTGTGCCCGATGCCAGGGACGTGTGTGCTTGGAAGCCGATGTGCCCCCCACAACCACCCTCACCCCGACTGAGTAGCCAAGCTTGCTTTCTGCCCTGCATTATCCTATCCCCCCGCCAATGCCACCAGCCTCTTCTCTTGCATCTCTTCGCTTGGCTCCAAAAGGCCTGTAAGTGTGAGCAGGGTCTCCAGGAAAAGCTAGAGCACTTTATGGACAGTGGCTTAGCCACATCTCAGGAAGGACGCCCTTTGTTCTATTCACAGGTCTTTCCAATGTCCACAAAAAGCGAGTCTCTGCCGCTCGACTCCTGAGCCGCCAAAACCTGCAAAGCCCTAAATCCAGGTAAGAAGCCTGGGCTTCACTTGGCGCCCCCCACTTTGGTGCCCAGGTGCCACCTGCAGGAAGGGAGGAGGTCGTGCTGACTCCACAGACCAGCTTCCTGTGTCCCAGCAATTGCAGGGGGTCACCGAGCCCCCCACTACTGCTGCCGTTACCTGAGTTTTCCGCTTTCTCTTTACGAAGGTCGCAGTGGGGCTGGGGGTGTAGCTCAGGAGTGGGGCCCGCCCAGCATGCATGAGGCCCTGGTTCCGTGGCCAGCTCTAAAAACAAAAGATGCTCCCAGCACAAAGGAGACGGTGTTGGTCATGAGAAAGGGGGAAGGAGAGAGGTTTTTATGAGCTGCCCTCCACACTGGGCCTCGCCCCGAAGAACTGTTCAGTGCCCACTGGGTCACAGCGCCTCCCTGGAAATCTCTTAAGTCTGCATCTCCTCACTGTGGATAATTACTTTCAGTGGGATATTGCAAAAAAAAAAAAAAAAAAAAAAAATAGTTACCTGGACTCTTCTTAAATTTCTTTTGGATGGGGAGAGGCTCATTCCCTGTCCCAAACAGCCCACGTGCTGTGTCCTGGTCATTAGAAATTATCTTAATATCCAACAAAGCCAAATAGTTCATAGATCTTACAGAACCAAATGCCTTAATATCCTCTTCAGCTAAAATGTGTATTTTTTCATACTTATTTTAAACCCAGTTACCCTTTCCTGTGGCACCCAAGGAAATTCATTTCTTTCATGGAGGTCTGCAAATAATCACAGAGATGGACCCGTTTCCCCAGGGTCCTGACACCTTCCTGTCAGCCTCCCTAACGCCCAGTCCCCCAGGCCTTCGGCTTCAGTAGAAGGACACGCTCTGTCCTGCTGGAAATGTCATTCTCTGTCTGCTGGTCACAGTGCGGTGGAGGTCTTGTGATTGAAGCCGAGTGTGCTGGGGTAATTATTGTCCTCACCGACCCGGACAGGACGTGCTAATGCAGCCTGAGATGCTGGCACGTCCTACCGACAGGCAGCCTTCTCTCCATGAAGCCCGTGTCCTTGCCGCTTCTAGAAGTTTTCTGTCCGCTCGACATAATCAAACCAGCGCTGTCTATCCCTCTGTTTGTATAATATTTTTCAGCACTAATGAATATCTCTGCGCTGATCCCTGTTGCACAGAATCTTTTCTCACTTTGCAGCGACAGCCCAGCAAGGTCTTTTGAAACCTCACTCCCTTGCATAGCGTGGTGTAAAGAGCGGGCTCTGCGGCTGCAGGGCTCTGGGTTCTGACTCTAGCCCTTCCACATGTGGCCCTAACGCGACACTCGGGTGGTCCGAGCCCCTGTCTCCTGGTCTATAAATGGGAACGGCAGCGAGAAAGATGGCTGTCACTTATGGAGCGCTTCCTGGGCTCCGAGCACCACGCACAGCACCTCTTATAATTCATACCAGCTCGGGAAGTGGAGACGGTGCTCGTCCACCTTTTAAATAGGAGAGATAACACTCAGAAAATGCAGCTGACTTTTCTCCAGGTCACACTGACCTGGTTAGCTGACTCCAAAGTCACTGAGCCAAATGACTACACAGATGGTCTCACCAGCATTACAAGGTTGCTGCGAGTGTTAAAAACAAGGGACACGGAGCAGCCGGCTCGTCCTAGGTCCTCGTGTCTCCTCCTCATCCACCCCGGTTTCAAATCAGCTGCACACCTAGCAGGCATGCTCTCTGTGCAGTCCTCCAGCCCCTTGATAATGTAATCGACAGCACAGATCTCTCCTAGATCCTCCGGTGTAAAAAGCGGATCAGGAAATTCAGGGCTGAATAATTAGCTAACTACAATATTTAGCACACAATGCCTCTGACAGAGAATCCATAGATGAAATATGTTCCTTATCTCTCATTTATATCTCACAGAAAGGTATAACTTAAATAGCATTAGAAAAAAAGGGATTGGGAATCCACTGGAAATCTTTTTGAACACAGATTACCAAACTCCAGCTTATAGAGCATACTCCCTGAACCACAGTACATAAACTGCAAGAAAACTTGCAGATGCCTTAATGCTAGGTTGAACCAAGGTCTCCAAATCGAGCCTCGCACCTCTGGGAGGACTATCTGACTCCAAGTTGACGATCTAAACGTAACCAACAATATTCTGAACAAGGTTAGAGACGGGAATGTAGTATTAAAATCAGTTATGATTTAGCACAAAAAAGAACCCAATTGTACCTAAGGCTTATGTTTTTAAGACGCATGCCCTGTAGCACTAAACCATCCCCAATGTTATAAAATTTAGGGGAAAAAAAGATAATTGAGAGGAAGAGCATGGATCTCGCATTTCCTCCTGCTCAAGGAGGAAGCTGGCTCTTCGGCCCAGGAGGCTAAAACCAAGATATTCAAGATATCACAAATCAGCCCTGCTAGCGACCCTTAATTGCCATGCAAGGGCGAGAGAGGAAGTAAACAGCCTTTTGAGGGCGATCCTTGCTGTTCTAAAAGCAAAAGTTACTACAGTTCCTGTCCTGCCTGGAAGTCAATTTTCTAATAAGTGCACAACAATTAGCAAAAGTGCATGAGAGAGACGGTAATGGAGAGCTGACGGGGGGTGGATGGTAAATCCTAGAAGTGAGGGGGAGGAGGGAAAACGCAGGGCTTTGAATGAAGCTTGGATGTCAGAGAGGAGCAGAGGAGGGTGTCGAGGACCAGGAAGGCTGGGGGTGCGGGTCCCTTTGTGGTCCTCTAGAGGAGGACCTGGTGCAAAGGCAAGAAGGGGCCCGAGCGCTACAGCCTTAACATTGGGCTCTAGCCAAAGTCTCCAGCCTCCTCCCTGACCGACCCTAACACACGAAGTATCTCCATGGATTCTCCTGGCCTGTTGTTGGACTACATCTCATGTCCCCAGTGGCCACCTGGAGCCAAGCCATGGCCATCTCCAGTGGCTAACATCACTGCCTAACATGTCTCTTTGTTCCTTGGCTTTTCTCTGCAAGATCTACTTTCCAACAGCTGCTCGGGTCATCGTTTAAAAACATACATGGAAGCACTTAACCCTTCAATATCACAGGCTGGAACAGCTTCTTACTGGACATACTACAGAGTCCTTGGTGTGACAGCTCCTGATGAGGTCTTTGGGGTCTCCACATCCTCCTTTAGGGTCTTCTTACCCTTCCTTGAATGTGCCATCCCTTTTTCTGCCTCAGGGCCTTGGCATGTACTATTCCCTCCTTCCTGAGACATGCTGCCACTGGATCTTTGTTCTTCCTATCATCATTCGAGTCTCTGTTTAGATGTCAGATCACCAGAGAGGCCGTCCTGATCATTGTACCCGACTTAGGCCACGGCTCTCAAACTGTCTCCCAGTGAGCAGGGGGACTCTGCTACCCATACGGTCACTCTCCACAGCCTAAAACAACACCGACACATGGCATAAATGTGTGGAATGAATGAGCCTTGTTAATTAGCTCAGGCAGCTCACTACTGAGAATGTTTACTCTCTTCTGCAAGAGTAAACATTAGCTATTTGTTTTTACCATGTAATGCTAGAGGTTATCAGATCTTTCATCTGTGAACCTGTTACTGAACCCCTGCCAGGTGTATGCGTGCATGCATGTGTTGGTTCTGCACACGGATACAAATGCATGGCATGTAGGGGACCCTGGCGGAACAGGTGGACGGGCCCAGCATTGCCCTTCCCCCCTCCTGCTGAACTTCCAAAGGCCCAAGCATCCCGAGTTTTAGGATCCTCCATTTAGAATCCTGCAGCAGAACTGAGATTGATAGCAGTTGGTATCCAAGCCAGTGCCCCCCCCCAACACGTGAAGAGCAGCTCCCCAACAAAGCATCCAGCCCATCAGTGACCCCCCAAGGTCATTTAACACAGGATCTCAGCAAGCCACTTGCAAAGGTCCTTAGCATAAAATCCTACCTGGCCAGGCTGGGCCACTTTCCAGCTTACCTCTGGCCACATTCCCCTCCTGCCCCTTATCTACCTGTCCTGCACCTTGAGAGGACTTGGGAAAAACGGTTGCACTCGTGAGCCAGCTCAGTAAGTTCAGGTTCTCTGAATTTCTGTTTTGTACAAATCGTGATCCGATGGGAAGAAAGCGGGAGCTGATTTGCCTGCGTTTCAAAGGCTTCCTCACGGTTAGCCCAGGAAGCACCCATACTAGAAGCCGCACAGCGCCCCCTGCTGGCTGGGGGCCTCTGCTCATTCCCTTCCTGTCAAAGGCACCAAGGATGAAGACTGCTCCCAAGACCTAAGGCCTGGTGTGGGCTTGGGAGAGAATCAATCGAGTGAGTCCATATAATTAACAAGCTCAGTGCCCCAGAGAGAGGTGAGATACACCCAGGAATGGAGCACTGTTCAACAATTATGACCACCAATGAATTTCCCACCATACTAAAGACAGAAAATACTTGACACTCCTCCCGCCCCAAACACACGAAAAGTGTGCCAGCTCAACTATTTTTAATAATGGTGGCTATTTGAAGCACAAAAGGGCTCTTGGTTGTGCCAAAACCCTCTAAATAGCGAGTCCCATTGGTCTATTCGAGTGTGATTTACATACCATGGAGAATGTAGACACTTCATGTTGAATATCAAGCATCTCCACCAACAGAAACCAACTGGCAATGAAGAAAGAGCAGATCTGAAAAAGCAAGCCCAGCTCGGAATACAAAGAGCTTGATTTACCGAAGTGTCGTTGATCCCACTGGCAGGGATTGGATAAAATGTTCCACGACCATGCACTAAAACTTTTCTGAGAATTTAGTCTCGAAGCCATTGAACTTGAAACACAAAAATCAATGTGAAGGGGCATGTACAAGTGTATTTCCCACATCTCTCAATGTTGTAATACTGGTGAATTTATGCATAAGAGGAACCCAAGCTTACAGCCAGGGCTTTTTTCCTTTGCCATTGACAATTTGAGGACCATGGCTGCCTGGAGGTCTGGAGCCAGGAATTGTCAGGAAAGACAGAGTTTCACAGGTTGGCCTGTGGGTCCACTGGGGTGCTGGTCCCTGGGAGAACCCTAACTGCCAGCAGCTGGTTTACCCTGGGAGTCTGAGATTCTTTCCTGACAACAAATACTTTTATGAGAACCTGCTATGTGCCAGGCACTGTGATAGGCACAAGGGGGTAGCTGTGGACCAATCAGATCACACACCATAGGAGGAGCCAAGCAGTGCTGTGGGTCAGAGGGTGGAGCTGTGGCGGAGAAAAATACAGCAGAAACCAGAAGGCAGAGGAGCAGGCGTTTCTGAGGATGGGCCCTGGGGTGCTCCTGTGTTCAGGGTTTGGGAAGACACAGTGGAACCAGCAGAAGAGGAACAGGCCGTAGAGCAGACTGGGAGAGCTTAGGTGATGGAGAGCTTAGGAGGTGAGGAGGCGGGAAGCAGTCATACCTGGTGCTACCTCCTGTCCGGCGAGCCTGGGGACTGCCGCTGGATTTTCAGTGAGGACCCCTTGGGTGACTGTGAGAGGAAACAGGGCATCAGCTTTGATGGCACAAGCTCCCGAGAAAGCAGAAGAAGGGAATTACAGCCACCAAGCAGAGAAAAGGGACAGAGGCTGATGACTCCTGTCCTATTGTTCCCCATGTCCCCCACTGCAGCCGATCGACAATCTTTGTGCGTCTGCACACCAACGGGAACCAGGAGCTGCAGTACCAGCCCGGGGACCACCTGGGGGTCTTCCCTGGCAACCACGAAGACCTCGTGAATGCCCTCATCGAGCGGCTGGAGGATGCCCCCCCTGTCAACCAGATGGTCAAGGTGGAACTGCTGGAGGAGCGGAACACGGCTTTGGGTAACACTCTGGGACCCCTCCCTTGCCTTCCCCCGGGAGGCCCAGAGGTGCTGTGGGTTTTGGGAAGGGGACACCCCGTCCTCTTCCCACCCACCAACGCATGGAGGAGAGTGGCTTTCTATTGCCCCTGGCTCAGGAGACTCTCACCCTTTCTCATGGCTGCCAGCAGATGCCATGACAACAGGCAGGCAGGCTCCCCAGGTAAAGAGATTTCTACCGTGATCATCACTAGACACTCACTTTAGCAACGGTCACTCTTTTATTTCTTTATTCCTATGGCCTCTTAAGAATATCTGTAATACTCACTGCCCAGCACGTAAACATCAGCTGAAGTCTGAACCTGATTCTTCCTAAGGATGATCCTGATGCCTCTTAGGGTCTGAGCCTAACTCCAATTGCGTAACCAGCTGAGATCAGAGGCAGACTCCTCTTCAAATCAAAAGGGCCTGCAGGAAGCTTGATGGCCACTGAGAGATGGATCCCCCTTAGATCAAATCTAACATGTTAAGTGAGCATCTGAGGTGTTCATAGTGAAGAGCTGTCAGAGGCAAATGGGGGTCAGTGCTTCACCTCACAGCCACGGTGTGAGGATGTACAGCGCTCTCACACGGCGGCCACGACTGCCGTCTTTACAGAGGAGCTAAGGCGTAAATCAGGGCAGAATTGGGAGAAGTTCGCAGTCAGAGCCCTCCTGAAAATCCCTTCGGAAGGCTCCACTTTGGAGAGATGCGTCTCTCTTAATAAATGCCACCTGGCCACTTCTCCCCTGGTTAAACCCCTGGGACAGAAGAGCTTGGTTTCAGGGACCATGTTGGATGGATCCAGAGGAAGAGCAGTCAGCACTCAGTAGCTAAGGAAACAGGATCCAGGATGCCTGGAAGATAGGAAAACCCACAGATGCCCAAACTCCTTATGTAAAATGGCATGGTATTTATTCCTAGCCCATGCTCATGCCCCCGTGTACCCTACATCATTTCTAGATTACTTCTGGTGCCCAATGCAACATAACTGCTCTGCAGGCAGTTGTTATGCCTTGTGGCTTAGAAAATAATAACACGGAAAAAGGCCTGTACCAGTTGAATACAAAATTTTCCATCTTTGGGAGAATCCACAGAATGCAGAATCCATGAATACAGAGAACTGGCTGGCTGCACAGTGTGATGGTTAGAGCGAGACGTGGTAGCAGGCTCCCTGATTCCAGAGCTGAGGCCTTGGGCAGCTCCGTTACCTCTTCTGAGCTTCCGATTTTTCTCAAACAGGATAATAATAGTGTCCCCCACCTGGGATTGTTCAGAGGGTTAGATTAGTTGATAAAGTACTGGGAGTAGTATTTGGTGTGCGTGAACGCACTGGATGACTGTGAACTATGATTTTTATTTTAAGCATGAGCATCTTTTGCCAAGGGGTGAGAAGCCGACACCATGTGAGGACAGAGGGGACCAGAGAACGCTTATGTCTGTCACCCAGGACTCTCTTCCTGTATTTCCCCTCTTCCACATTTTTGCTTTTATTTGGTTTGGTTTGGTCTTGTAGGGTTAGGGATTGAACCCACGGCTGTCACACTGAGCTACATTCCCAGGGTTTGTTTTGTTTTTTGAGACAGAGCCTCCCTAACTCAATAACTTACCCAGACTCAAACTTGAGATTCTCCTGCCTCACCCTCCCAGAGTTCTGAGATTATAGGCATCACTCAGCTTCACATTTATTCCTTAATGTCGGAGCTAGTTTGACTAAGCGGTTTGGGGTAGGCTCCTTGCACTCACGAGGTGACCACAAGGTCCCCTGATCCCACTGCTCATCCAGTCAGGTCTCCGCGCAGCAGCAGGCCAGGACCATTGTGGACCCAGGTCCTCCCCCAACCTCCCTGTCCTCTTGTGCCTCCCCAGGTGTCATCAGTAACTGGAAGGATGAGCCCCGCCTCCCTCCCTGCACCATCTTCCAGGCCTTCAAGTACTACCTGGACATCACCACACCACCCACACCCCTGCAGCTGCAGCAGTTTGCCTCCCTGGCCACCAATGAGAAGGAGAAGCAGCGTCTGCTGGTCCTCAGCAAAGTGAGTTCCCCGTGTCACCCAGCCCCAATGGGAGCCTTTTGCCTCCTGGTCACTGGCAAACTATGACACGGTTGTTCCAAATCTGTCCAGCAGAGGGCAGTTTCGAGCAATGGGTACCATTGTCCAAACTGCACGTGGCCGCCATATTGGTTTCTCCATTTTGCCAGGTCCTAACCATGTAATGAAGCAGAACAGCCCCCTTGCCACTCAGAGTTCTCTGGCCACCACAGACGTTGCTACTCTATGTCGTTTCCACCTTTGTTACCCTGTGCTCCTATGGGTTCCAACTCAGCCCACTCTTGGAAGGAAAAGAAACAGAATCTCATAGTGCTCTGGTGAAAGGAGCTATCAGTAGATCAGTGAGACATAAGAGGCTTCCAATGGTCAGGAAGCCGAACACAGCTTGTACCACCCTTGCTTAGCAACTATAGACTCACCTGCTCCAAAATGCTGTACAGTAGGAACCCTCCCCAGAATCCCAGCTACTCCAGTTGCTGAGTGCAAAGCCAGGCTGAACAACTGAGCCAGACCCTGCCTCAAGATTTGAAAAGATTTTGAATGGCCAGGGTTGTAGCTCAATAGTAGAATACTTGCCTAGGATGCATGAGGCTGGCAGTGGGGATTGTACAAAGAAGCAGAAGGGAAACGGAAAAGGGAGAAGGCAGACTCGTACCCAGGAACACCTCCCAGTGGGGTCTCCTTGCCAGTAAGCAACGCTCTAGCAAAGGATGCTTTAGCTTCCGCCTGCTGTCCAGGAGAAGGGCCTGAGTGATGGGCAGTGAGGGAGAGGCTAATTAGCAAGTACATATTATTTAGAAAATATGGAAATAAACACCAGAAGAAACAGAGAATTCTAAGTAATTATCTCTGGAAAGCTGAAAACAGATGGCCCCGATAGAACAGGAGATCATTATTTTTAATCAGAAGCTTGGCAGAATTATTTAACTTTTTATGCTATGTGCATATAGAACTTTGATTTTAAACTTACTATTCATGGTAGGGAGGGGCAGTATCAAGAGATCACGCCCTTTGCATAGGATTATATTATGTAGAAATTTGCTTAATCAAATGTATATGACCAATTGTTCTGAACAGCACGAAGTCTCTAAGGTGGGATAAATGAGCAAGGATTTTGTTGATGGAAACATGTATGTTAGAGGACACAGAAAAAAGAGTCAGACCAGGCTGTGAGCATCACCAGATCATAAAACAAGGCTAACTCCAACGGAAACAAAAGGAGGCTGGGTAGAAACCTCTCAGATTGCAACGCAGTTTATAGAGGGGCAAATAAGTCCTTTGAAGAATCCTAGAACCAGAGGCCTGCATCCCAGGAATGAACCTGTCCCTGTCCAGGAATTGTCCCTTCTGTGGTCCATCCTGGACTGTCTTAGTTACTTTATCACTCTGGATAAACAAATACTTGACACCCAGAATGAAAGGAGAAAAGGTTTGTTTTAGCTTACAGTTTGTAGAGGTTTCCAGTTCACAGTGGGCCAGCTCCAAGGCAGGCAACATGACAGAGGAAAACAGCAAAAGAGAAACAGTTCGTGGCACAGCAGGCAAGAAGCAGAGTCTCCCTTTTGCTTCTCGTTTTTATTCCATTCAGCCTGCAAGCCTGTTGGTTGGTGCCGCCCACACCCAGGATGAGTGTTCTCTCCAGTAAATCCATCATCTACACCCAGAACTATGCTAAACCAATCAGTGGACTAACCCAGTGTCACACACCCATGACCCAGCCGCTCTCGAGAGCCCCACCCAGGAGCACATGAGGCTTTGCTGGGGGGGCATCTAGAAATAAGCCACAACACCATGAGAACCGGACCTGACCCCAGCACTGGGGATGGCATCAGCCTCAGGTGGTGGCGGATCCAGGTGGGTGTCCATCTCAGACAGCTTCCGCTGGGGCTCTCAGCCAGATGTGCTCCGGCAGCTGGAGGTCAGTAGCTGCAGGTCCAGGATGTGCATTCTCAAGATGACCATTTCTATTCATGCGGCAAGGCCCAGCCTCTGGGATCATGCTATCTAATGCACCCTGCTATACATCGAACTTGTAATCCACTTCACCTCTGCTCCCGGAAACTGAGCCTCCCCTGCCGGCAATAAGGGACTGCCAGGGTGTCTTCTGAGATATGAGAAAAACAACTCTGAGTCCCAGAGAGTTTCCGTGTTCCTTGGTAACAGCTGGGCTTTGCTGTCCTTACGCCCCCAAACATGGTCCTCCGCACACTCCAACCTGCTTTTCCTTCGCTGTCACTTATATGGCCAAGGATGCTTCTCCTCAGCCACCAGCGGGCTGAAGGTGTGCATTCTGCACCTGCACGTCCTCTTGTGTTCCTGGAGTCACTAATGCATGACTCACATGGGGTCTCCCTTTTGTCCTTTGGGGGGCTGTAAGGGTTAGAAGTAAACATCCTCATTTCAGACCACCCAGCGCAGGGATCAGCAGATTATTTCCTGTACAAGGCCAGGTGATAAACATTTCAGCATGCAGTCGCTGTGGTCTCCGGTCCAACTATCGAACTCCACCATGGTAGTGCCAGCAGCATGGACGACACATAAGTGGGTGTGACCCCGTGTCATCCAAAGTCGTGGTGAGCTTGGAAGTTTGAAGTTCAGTTTCTATTCATGTCTCATAAAATGGGGTTCATCTTTTGACTTTTTTCCCCAATCATTTAAAACGATATTTATCTCATGATCTATATAGAACAGTGGCAAGCCAGGTCTTTCTGGTAGCTGAAGTTTGCCATGCCCCCACTTAGATTCAGATCCCAGCATCACCACCTGGTAGCCGCAAGACCTCTGCGTCCCTCAGTGTCCTCATCCACAAAATGGGCACAACAGTAACACCTGCTATGGTCTGAATGCTTTGCCCCCTCCAAAAAATTCATATGTTGAAACCAACTCCCACAAGATGTTGATATTAAGAGGTGGGGGGAGGGCACTACCAGGCCTGGTGGTACAAGCCTATAATCCTGCTACTTGGAGTCTGTGGCAAGAGGATTGTAAGTTCAAGGCCAGCTTAGGCCACTTAGCAAGACCCTGTCTCAAAATGAAGTGTTAAGAAGGGCTGGGGTGTAACTGGAGTTCAGTGTAGAGCACTCGTGTAGCGTGGCCGAGGCCCTGGGTTCCAGCTCTGACACTGCACAAAAGAAGACGCTGGGCCGTGATTAGGTTAGGAGTACTCTATCCTCCAGAGTGGGGTTAGTATCTTCATAAAAGAGTCCCAAAGGAGCCAGTTCATGCTTTAAAAAAAAAGTGCTGGGGATTTAACCCACGCCTTCACACTGAGCTGTATACCCACCCAGTGCTTTGTTTATTTCTTACTGTGAGACAGAAGCTCCCTAAGTCACAAAACAACCCAGGCTGGGTTCAGACTTGCAATCCTCCCGCCTCAGCCTCCCAAAGTTCTGAATCACAGGCGTGTCCCACCGCACCGCATCTGCTTCCTCGCTTCTGCCATGTGAGGGTGTGTAGTAAGTGCCTTCTATGAAGACTAGCCCTTCCCGGGCAGCAGACCCCCTGGGACCTTGGTTCCCATGGTCTGCGTTTCCATCACCCGAATTAACCTGTCAGAAGTATTTGGGGGCAGCAGCCCAAGGAGCCAAGGCACGATGGGTCCCATCATGTCCTCAGGTGATGGAAACCCAGCACAGCACGGCTCCCCAGAAGTGGCACCCAGCCCCCCTTTTATTCTGCGCCCACCGGAAACAGGAAGTAGCCGGCCTCACGCTCTGCTCCTCCCGGCAGGGGCTGCAGGAGTACGAGGAGTGGAAGTGGGGCAAGAACCCCACCGTGGTGGAGGTGCTGGAGGAGTTTCCGTCCATCCAGATGCCGGCCACCCTGCTGCTCACCCAGCTGTCCCTGCTCCAGCCGCGCTATTACTCCATCAGCTCCTCCCCGGACATGTACCCGGACGAGGTGCACCTCACCGTGGCCATCGTCTCCTATCACACGCGAGGTGGGCAGAGGCGCAGGTCTGCATCCCCGAGGGCCTCTGGAGGTCTCTCCCTGCATTAGTGCCCAAAGACCACATCCCAATCCAAAATCCCTGCGGGACACTGGCATCCAAGGTGTGGAAACCTTGGCACCCAAGGAAATCCTCCAGTACCCCAAGGCAGCGACCAAAGGAAGGTTCACCGGGCCTCCCGTGGGGCAGCTCCCTGTTGCGGGGCCCCAAGCTCTACACGTGTGTTTTACCTCCCTGAAAAGCAATTGAAATGCATGATGGCTGCAGATTCTGCAACCAGGACCCCATCCACCCACCCCCACCTGCACCCACAGAACCCTGGGCTGGTCTGCAACCACCCACCTACCCCAGCTCGACCCTCCCCCCCCCAACCTTCAGAGGACTTCTAAGACCATGAATTCCAAAGCAGAATTGTGGTGTTGGCCTGAGAGCATGTGGGGAGGGGGCACACGGGCCAGCCAGACCACCATGCTTTTCTCTCTGCTAGATGGAGAAGGACCAATTCACCATGGCGTGTGCTCCTCCTGGCTCAACCGGATACAAGCTGATGAGGTGGTCCCCTGTTTTGTGAGAGGGTGAGTAGCATGTTGGAATCCATAGCTAGAGTGGTGGAGATGAGCCTTAAGGGCTGCAGGGAAAGGTCCGGGTTGGAGGGAGTGGAGACCAACATCCCGCATCGTTCCAAGATGTTCGGGAGATGGGATCATGAGATACAGTGGCACGGCAAAGTCTGTATGATAAGTATTCCCCCGGGGCACAGATGGGCCACAAGCTGGGTTACAGGGGGAACCACTCTCCATCTTTGTGGACTTCTAACCAACTTCTACTGATCGTCCTCAATCTGTCCCTAGTGTCATTCAGCTAGCTCCATTCATTGTAAGTTTTCCTCCCCCACTCACTGGGAATAAGCAGACCCAAGTACAGACCCATGACGGGCACCTCTTTGCCAATCAAAAGCATCTTCTCCTGAGCTGTGGCTTGGCTCACCATTGGTTCTCAGCCACTGCGAGTAGACCTGCACAGTACAGTCCACATGCCATGGGCGTCAGAACTTCCAGGGGGTTCCAGAGATAGAGTCCCGTGCCCAGAATTATGCCTCACTGCCTGGTGTGCCTTGGGCTCCGCTGTTGGGGATCAGATCTGAGCTCAGCGAGACTTCTGACTCTCTCTTTCTTGTCCAGCGCACCCAGCTTCCACCTACCCCAAAACCCCAAGGTACCCTGCATCCTGATTGGCCCAGGCACCGGCATCGCCCCCTTCCGAAGCTTCTGGCAGCAACGACAATTCGACATCCAGCACAAAGGTGGGTAGGAGTGGGGTCTCCATTGCTTTCTCGCCTGGCAGGGATGCAGGTGCAGGCCTGACCCGACCCGCAGGAGAAGTTCACGGTGTCTTTCCGGCGGTCCTCTCAATGCCTCCCTGCGGCTTGTTTTAGAGTCCTGCAGTCCCCTTTCTGTGACAGTAAGAGGTGGCCACTGCTAAAACCTATGATCTAGATGGGGCAGGTGTGACTGTCCCTGCCCTTCCTCTCAAGGCACTTCTCCGCTGTGTGGGAGACACAGCCATTGGTCTCCAGGAAGAGGACAGGGAGAGAACCCACAGTGGGAGCACTCATCAAATGAGGATTTAGCACCTTCGCCCAGGCCTGCAACACGTGTCTCACTGCCAAGCAGCTCCCACTGGAATTCGTCCCACCAGTTTAAGCCACCAGTGACACTGCATGACTGTCCCACTGGGCAGCAGAAATAAGTGCATCTTAAATGCACCATCAATGGGGTCCTTTAAGATTTCCACGTTAAACTTTAGAGAACTGATGATTGATAAACCATTCATTTAATGAAATTAAATTTGTTATTATAATCATTTTTAATTGGTATGACTAGTATTAATATTGACACCTGAGTGGTGATTATTCAAATTCAAATAACTAACTGGATTTGGTGCACTTATAGGCTTAGTATTAGTTTTATTAGTAAAAAGATGATTAAAAGTAACTAAATCCATTGGTACCACCAGCGGTACAGTCATGCATGTGTTACCAGTGGTTCAAGCTGGCGGGAATATTTTAAAAGCATCTAAAGAGGGCTGGGGATTGAGCTCAGCAGCGCAAGCGCCTGCCTGCCAAACTCGAGGTTGTGAGTTCAATCCCCAGTACCAAAAAAAAAGGAACTAAAGAGTGCCCACCACTAATGAAGGTGCTGGGACCATAGCAATACCCAAGACAGAAAAACAACTCAAATAAAGAGAAATCATTTCCCATGGAACCGTGGTTCCAGGAGAACACTGGTATTTGTAAAGTGGTCACCATTGCCAGGCCCATTTTTCACATTCCACACTAATTTCTCACCATAACCCCATGAGGCAGGAACTGTCACTGCAGTCAGCCCTCTGGCTCCGTGAGTTTCCAGTCTTCAGAGTCACCCAAATTCTGATTAAATACATTAGAAGAAAAGAATTACGTCTGTACTGAACAGGTGCCACCTTTCATGTGTGTCTGGTTCTGCTGATGGAACACAGGGCCTCCTGGGCGCTAGGCAAGCACTGGGTGACTGAGGCGCATCCTCAGATGGAAACAGTCTCCCTAAGTTGCCCGGGCTGGCCTTGGCCTCCCGAGTAGCTAGGATTACATGCATGTTCCACCATGTGTGGCTCAGATGTTTTTCTGTCATTATCCCCTAAATAATGCAGTATAACAGCTATTTCTACAGCACTCTCATTAGGGAAGGGTCAAAGGATGTGGGAGGGTGCGCATATGTTCTGTGCGAATGTGATATCATTTTATAGAAGGGCCTCGGGCACCTGCAGAATTTGGTATCCAAGAAGGGGTCCTGGTACCTCTCCGCTGCAAATATAAGAGGCAACTCTGTTTCCATGTCTCACTTGGAGAAACTGAGGCATAGAAGGTTAAGTTGTGCACTGTCACACAGAGCTAGAATTGCAACCCAGGAGGTCTGACTGAAGTCTGGGCTCTTAGAGCTACCTGGTGCAAGGGGGCTGCTAAGCAGCATGGCAGGGACAGCAGGAAGGATGGAAACCCAGGGAAGGGAAGTGTGTCAAAAGCTGAACACCAAACCACCTTCCACAGTGTGTGTGTGTGTGTGTGTGTGTGTGTGTGCGTGCGCACACATGTGTGTGTGCACCCACACATCTGCTTGCCCCAGTCTCCTCAGCCTCAGCCTGCATGGCAGCCCCCAAGGTCCACGCTCCCTACCCTGGCACCTCCTTTCACCCTCCCTGAGCGGGCACTAGAGCCCTCAGTGACACACGCCCTTCTGATTGCCAGGACTAAGTCCCTGCCCCATGATCCTGGTCTTCGGGTGCCGGCAGTCCAAGATAGATCACATCTACAGGGAGGAGACCCTGCAGGCCAAGAACAAGGGGGTCTTCAGAGAGCTGTACACGGCCTACTCCCGGGAGCCAGACAAACCAAAGGTGAGCCCCACACGTGCTCATACACCCTCTGGTATACATGTTTTAAGAACTGTCTCAAGAGCCTCCCCCACCTTTGACCTTTCTGATTCTCCCCAGTACTTCAGAAAGCCTGAAAAGGAATCTATTTGTATTAGTTTTCCCTTGGCAGGGGCCAAAATGCCTGACACCCACAACTTTAAAAAAGTTGGCTCATGGTTCCAGAGGGTTCAGTCCCTGGTCTGCTGGCTCCAAGGCAGGAGCATGATGGTGAAAAGCTACGGTGGAGGAAATCTGCCCCCGTCGTGGCAGATGGGAAGCAGAAGGAGGGGTGGAGAGAGAAAGAGCCAAAGAGAAAGGAAGAGCCCGGAACAGGATCTGGCCTTTAACCATGCATCCCCCAGCCCATCCTCCGCGGGGGCTCTGTCCCCTAACAGCCCACCCAGCTAGAAACTCATCAGTGGGTTATTCCAGTCATGACCTGAACATGGCTGTACTGGAGTCAAGCCCTTGATGCACGAGTCTTTAGGGAACTCTTCCCATGTCAACCACAGCACTATTAAAATCAGGTAACAGATTTAATACTCCATGACCTGATTCCAGTCCAGGCAACTCCAAGCAGGTTAGTGGTGGCCAAGAGCCCGTGAAGGGGGAAGATGGGAAAGAGAGCTTCGTGGGTGTCCCTTTCCACCTAGTGACAGAGAAGCTGTGAAACGGAGCCAGCCTGGTGGTACAAGCCTGTCATCCTTGCACTGTAGGAGGCTGAGGGAAGAGGATACAAGTTCAAACCCAGCCTGAGCCCCTTACTAAGGCCCTGTCTCAATTAAAAGAGAGAGAGAGGGAGGGAGGTGGCTCAGCACAGAGGCCCTGGGTTCAATCCCCAGCACCACAAAAAATAAAATAATTTATTTAACAGCCCATAAGAGGCAGGGCCCATCAGAATGGACTTGGGATGTGGGAATGGTAATCATTCTGTTGGATTTGGGGGCAGTTCAAATGATTGGTCGCAGGGAAGGGGCCAGGACACCCGCAGGTGGTGGCACTCCAAGAATCTGGACAGAGTTGACAGCTGGCACCGGTGCATGTCAATATTAACAGCCAGCAAGGTATCCGGGACTTATCAGCCAAGCGTAACAAGGCCTGGGGCCAGGAGATCCGGGGCAAGTTAAAGACAAATTCCCTGGTGGCAGAGGGAGTGGCATCCTTGTGCACCTCTACACACAGTCTGTGTGCGTGCTCTGAGCACCCCCTTACTGCAGCAACCCGGGCTTCTCTAGCACTGCAGCCTGAGGGCCTGCAGGTACCCAGCCACCCCTGGAAGTGTACAGTGTCCACACCCTGTGTGTGACCGTTGGGGAATGACTGGGGAGTACGGTCCTATGTGCTCCCCATGCTTTCAGACAGCACCCCCACCTTCCTTGCTACACACTTCCAGCCCCTCACTTCCTCCTTCCCTGGAGCCTCCCCACAAAATCTCCAGCTTGCCCACAAGCTCTTGCTCCCCCATCCTTTCTGCGGGGGAGTAAGCCACGCCGGGAGCCTCACGCAGCCCATCTCCTGCCCCTGCAGAAATACGTGCAGGACGTCCTACAAGAACAGCTGGCCGAGACTGTGTACCGAGCCCTCAAGGAACAAGGGGGCCACATCTACGTCTGCGGGGACGTCACCATGGCTGCTGATGTCCTCAAAGCCATCCAGCGCATCATGGCTCAGCAGGGGAGACTCTCGGAGGAGGATGCTGGGGTGTTCATCAGCAGGCTGAGGGTGAGTGATGGGCCGGCTGGCTTCTCAGCCCCCCACCCCCGGCACCCAGCTTCCTGTCTCCTCTTCCTCACGCCACCTGTCAACATTAGGGGCACCGTGATGATATCCCTGATCCACATTTTGCACTTACACCTGGGGCAGAGGACATAGGTGGACCAACCTACGGGTAGAGAGAGGGTAGTAAGCAGGCAGGTTAAGTGTAGTAGCTATGGTTGGGAGCTATAATGTGTCAAAATAACAAGGAAAGGGGCCTCTGGGTAACTAGACTGAAACTATCCAGCACATCCTTGCCTGCCCCAGGAACCAACCTGTCCAGTTGCACAAGTTGCACATGATACAAAAACATCTGTCCAAGAGGAACAAGCAGAGGTCTGAAAGCCAACTCACGCTGCATCCTCCAATCCGCGCCCCTCGGAGTGGAGCTGCATCCATTCTTAAGGAAGAGCATTTTTCTAATGCATCTAAAGCCTGGGCAGAGGTGACTGACAGCTCAGCCAGCAAAGTCATAACCATGTGACCAGCTGGCCCAATAGGAGAAAAGCTCCCAAGATGCCCTTCACTTCCCGCTGCTTTTCTAAATGAACAGCATTCAAACAGGGCTGCTGTGTTCAGACACTGATGGCCAGAAGCCCTTCCTCTGATTCTCATGCTAAACCCCCCAACTAGGTAGAACAGGGACTTCCTTAGGGAAGCATCGCGGAGCCAGTATTGTTGTGGGGATGGCTGTGTCTTCAGTGTCTGACCCTGAGACTTCAGAGAATTCGAGATTAAATCTCTCAAAAATCACGAATTTAAAACAAAATCATAGAGAAAGGCAGGTTGCCGTTGGTGCCCCCAGCACACACCCCTCCATTCCAACACACTCACCCCAGCATACTTGCCACTTTCTTCTCGTACACGTTTGTAGACATGCAGCTTACACTCATCTTGGGGAGCAGGTGTGCGTGCCCACCACAGCTTGTGTCCTTTATGGCCTTTCCTCCCTCCTCCTCTAATTCCCCTTCTCCTGTTTTCATTCTTGTCGATAGGATTACTCTTAGCTTGCGTTCATGACATACAGTGCTTACGCTCCCTGAGGTCATTAGGGTCCTGTACAGGGCACAGCAGTATGTAACTCGCTTTCCTCTCCTCTTGGTCTCCTAGATTCCTTCCCATTTGCAAGAGATCCATCCACTTGTCTCCTTCTATCTCTCCTTTATCGTGCTGTTGTTTGTACGTTGCCTTACTCATATGAGAGGTATTATGCAGTATTTAAGCTTATGCGTCTGGTTTATTTCACTCAACATTATATTTCCCAGGTACATCATTTTCCTACAGGTGTCTCAAATTTGTCATTCACTCCAGCTGAGTAGCATTCCATTCTGTATGGATAGCACGTTTCCTTTGTCCAGTTGGCTGTTGATGGGTGTACAGGCTGCTTCCAGGATTTAGCTGTTATGAATTATGCTGTTATAATCACCGGGATGCACGCATTGCCGCAGCATGATATCCTTATCTACCTGGGAAACACACCTAGAAGACAGATACCTGGGTCACTCAGAATTTCTAACTTTAGTTCTTTGAGGACTCTGCATACTGATTTCTACAATGGCTGTACTAGTTTACATTCTCACTAGCAATACAGAAGAGCTTTTTCACCGCAGCCATACCAGCGTTTGTTAGTTTTTGACTTACAGATGATTGCCATTCTCTCTGGGATACGATGCAATCTTAGTGTTGTTTAATTTGCATCTTTCTAATGGTCGGTGTCTTTGTTACTTTCCTCTCATTGCTGACACCAAATATCGGACATCCGAAGTTAAAGGGAGAAAGGTTTATTTAGCTTACAGTTTGTAGAAGTTTCAGTCCATAATTGACTGGCTTCCAGATAAGGTGGCACGTGGCAAAGGTGGCACGTGCCACCCATTCATGGTGGCAAAAGCAGCGAGAGAGGGCAAAACAAACCTCTTCCTGTCTCTTATATTGGATCAGGGTGGTGCCATCCAGTCAGTGGATTGATTTAGCAATCACCCAGTTAATCCCAGCACTGCAGTGCTACAAATCAACCACACATTCTAGATTCAGCCATCTCAAAAAAAAAAAAAAAAAACCCTATGATTGCATGAGCACTTGGGGGCATCTGGATGCAAACCATAACAGCCAGAGATGGTGAACATTTTTCCATACATTTGTTGGCCATTTGTACTTTTCCTCTGTTCATGTCACTTCCCTATTTCTTGATTAGGTCTTTAATTTTAGTGGTATAATTGCTTTTGAGTTCTCTGTGTATTTCAGATATTAGTCCTCTGTCTGATGAATAGCTGGCAAAATTTTCCCCACTCTGTGGGTTGTCTCTTCACTCTGCTAATTGATTCTTTTGCTGTGCAGAAGCTTTTTCATTTGATGTGATCCCCTATGTTTGTTCTTGCTGTTATTTTTGTGCAATTGAGGTTGTTTAAGAAATCCTTTCCTTTACCTATGACTTCAAGTGTTTTGGCTATGTTATCTTCCAGTAGGTTCACTGTGTAGATCTTTGATTCATTTTAATTTTATCTTAGTACATGGTGAGAGATATGGGTCCAGTTTCAATCTTCTATAAACAGATATCCAATTTTCCCAGCACTGCTTATTGAATAAGCTGTCTTTCCTCCAATACGCTGTTGGCCTCTTTGTCAAAGATCAAATAGCCAAATCTGTCTGAGGATATTTCTGTATCTTCTATTCTGTTCCGTTCATCCATAGTTTGTTTTTGTTCCAGTGCATACCATTTTTATCACTATTGCTTTGTCATATAGCTTGAAGTCGGGTGATATAATACCTCCTGCTTTGTTCTGATTGCCCAAGACTTCTTTTGCTATTCTGGATCTCTCCTGTGTTCCATATGAAGTTTAGGATTGTTTTTTCTGGGTCAGTGGAGTATATTGTTGGTATTTTGATTGAGAGTGCATTGAGTCTGTTCCCCAGTTTTAGGAGAATGGTTGTTCTGACAATACTGGTTCTATCTAGGAGCAGGGGACATCCGTCTGTTTTCTGATGTCCACTTGGACATTCTCATTCTGAGCTGCTCGCCACGATCTTCAGCTGTCCTGGGAGTCCACTTTCAGAGTTCTCCCTAGATGAAATGAACCCACTCTCCAGATGGGTAGCTTTCTCCAAAACCTCCAGGACTGAGCGATGCTGGGTCTCAGCACATCCCAGGCCCTGCCTTCTCCTCAGCATGGAGATGCCTTTATCCTCTTTTGACCCCAGAAATGCTGCCCTTTGAGAATATGCTTGACTGCCCGCCCCTCAGTTCTGCCAAGGGAGCTCACATGCTTCTAAAATTCAGAGATTCCAGAGGTCTCCACCGTGCAGCAGTGGGGCTGCCCCCGGTGGAGCACAACCACTTCGCTTTCCTCCCCTCTCTGCCGGTCTCCCCACGCTGTGCTGTGTCCCACTTAAGCCAGCACCGCCCCACTCTGAGCTGGAGTTTTCAGGGATAAACTGGAGGCAGGAGGAGGGAAAGAGTGGCCTCGTTGCTCTTCTAAGCTCAGAATCCACCATTTCCAAGGCCGGTGCCAGTGCACAAACTGCCACAGGGGACAGAGTTTGGCCAACACCAAGTCTTAGAGACCGAGTCACCTTCGCGACCCTGGGCTGGGCCTCCTGACATTAGGAACCATCTTTTCTAGGTCTTTTTCCTTCCAGAGTAGCAAAACATTTGCCCCCTCGCCAAGCCCTGGGCTGGCACTTGACAGCTGTTCTCTGGCTGCTTCTGTCCCCTAGGATGACAACCGGTACCATGAAGATATTTTTGGAGTCACCCTGCGCACGTATGAAGTGACCAACCGCCTTAGATCTGAGTCCATTGCCTTCATTGAAGAGAGCAAAAAGGACACTGATGAGTAAGCTGCCTCTGTCTGTCCACCCAGGGCTGGCCAGGGCCTTCTCCTCCAGTCTGGGGACAGGGACATCTGACTTTCCTGGAGGGGCGTGGCTTCCCCAGACCAGCAAAACTAGGACCCTATAGAAATGCAAATTCCCAGGCTGCCCCAGCCCTGTTGAATCTGAAATTCAGGAGGTAGGGTGCAGCAGTTAACATGTTAACAATCCCTCTCAGCTGGACATGGTGGCACATACATATAATCCCAGCAGTTTTGGAGGCTGAGGCAGGAGGACCCACAAGATCAAACCTAACCTGGGCAAATTTGCAATTTAGCAACTCTGTCTCAAAAAAAAGAGGGCTGGGGATATAACTCTGTGTAGAGCCTGGGTTCAGTCCCCAGTACTGCAATTTATGTAAAGCCTTCATGGATGAGACCCTAGAGTGTCAGCTTGCTTCAGTTGCCAGCATCCTACAACTGAGACGCCCCCTAGTGGAATGATCTCCAACTGCCTCTACTATAGCATTTCCATCAACACCCTTCACAAAACGAAAAATGGGAGGGCTTTCTCACTGGCACAAATTACAATCCGTCTTGTAGAAATCTCTGGAAATATCATGAGGCACAGAGAGACAGAGACAGAGTCTCACTATTTAAATCTCACCTTACCTCTGTGACACCGTGACCTCTGTTGCAGTCCCTGTCCCAGTGCCCTTCCCTGTCCCCTGCCCCATGCCTGTGCCCTTAAAGAGGGTCACAGTCCATCTGCCTCCTTGCCTGTAGCACAAGGGACACACTCATCTTTTCAGACTCAGCACCCTTTTGTTTTCCTCTGGACACGTCCACCTTGACGCACACTTCGTAGCCAGGTGCGGTGGGGCACGCCTGTCATCCCGCACTTCAGGAGGCTGAGGATGGCAGGTTCGAGTCCCGCCTGGGCAACTTAGCGAGACCTTGTCTTAAAACAGAACATAAAAGGGTCCGGGCTGGTGCAGCTCATCGGTAGGAAGCCTGTTTGATCCTCGGTCCCACCGGGCTCACTTAACTGAAGAGCACACCTTCCTGGATGGACAGAAGTTCCATTCCTGTCCAGTTGTGTTGGTGACGATCATTGATTCATTCATTCAGGGCCTCCCCACACATGAGGGCCACAGAACACAGGAGAAGCCTCAAGCCCCAGAATCCAGCCTGAGGCGCTTTCCCCTCTGGTCTCTGGAAGGAAGCAGAGCCCCTGAGTGCTGTGACACTAACTAACTCTGTCCCCTTCTCCTCCAACAGGGTTTTCAGCTCCTAAGTGGACCCTGTTGCCCAGAGGGACGGCAGGCAGCACCCTAAGTGCTCCAGCGGGGTGCCCACGGTTTTCCTAGGCACGGACACACGGCTGAACGTTTCCCCCAGGACCCTCGCAGCCCGCTCCATCTCTTGTCCTGTCGCTGCGTCCTGGTTTCCCTCTTTGGGGTTCTGTCCCGCTCCATGGTGTCCTCGGGCCTCCTGGGTTTGCTCCTCGAGTTCTCCTGCTGCAGTGCGATGCCTTTATGACCCGCAGTGGCTCCTACACAACCGTGTCCTCCCCGCTTTCTGGCTGCCCAAAGCAAATCATGGGTGCATGAAACCATTGGATTATGGCCATCGCTCCTGTTAGGGTTTGTCCTGGGGGTGGCGTGGGGAGCTGGAAGGCTGCAGGTGCTGGACAGAAGCTGAGCCAGCCTCTGTGCCACTCGAGTCCCCCGTCCTCTCTTGGGATGGTGTTTTTGGTCGTGCATGTGCATCTGTGCATGCAGCCAGCCGGGCTGTCTGTGTGTCGTCTGCCCGTGCTCATGTGTCCATCTTAGATCTGAGTCCGATGCCTTGGCCGGCGACCCTCTGTGCCAAGAAATGTGCCACCGACCCATGTTAATTCCTGGTGTGTCCTAAATTCAGGGTCTGTGCCATGTCCCTGAGACACTGGAAAGCCCCCTACCCATCCTGCTAGAAAGGTCGGGGAAGTGGAAGAGGATGTGGAGATTAAGGGACCCATCTCCCCACAAAAGAGAGAATCACAGAATTCGATGCATTTAGGTTTTGAGCAGCTCATGTCCTCGCTGGGAAATGAACTCCCTGCCCAGCCAGGGGCCCCTGACGTGCCCACACTCACAAACTGCCCCCAGCATCCCACCCACAAGGATCATCTCACTGTGCCACCGGGGGACCCGGGATGAGTCCATTGTCCTCAGTTTCCCCTAATCACATTATGAACCTGAAGAATAGGAATGAATTGAACCTTAACATTTTGGTGCCCAGAAGGAATGTCAAGGAGGAAGGCGACTGGGACATTTTTATTCAGCCAGGTGGGGCTTGCTGATTCAGCCTTGGGACAAAGTAACCAAAGCCAGTTAAAAGGATCAGGTGAAAAGCGGGCTGTGGTACCGCATGCCTGTGATCTAGGCACCAGGAGGCTGAGGCAGGAGGATGGCAGGTCCCGAGCCCAGCCTGGGCAATTGACAGCCTCAGAGACGCCCTGGCTCAAAATTTTAAAAAGGGCTGGAGGTGGAGCTCAGTGCAAAAGCCTAGGTTCAATCTCAGTGTCACAAATAAGAGATCAGAGGAACCAAGTTAAGAGAAATAGCTTAACAGGGAACCCCCTCTCCAGGTGGGAAAAATATGGCCCTCAGATTTGCAATCCTCTAACACTGATCTCATTTGTCAACCTGCTAAAATAATTTTAACAGATTCAGCCTACTGTATTTACCCTCTCAGAGTAACTGGAATCAAAAGGTCCCTTCTACATGTAAACCCTAAAAAATCTGTATGAGGCAGCTCCCAGAGAAACCCAAGAAGCCCCTGTGCCCCGGCAGCCTTGGAGGATGGAGTCGGCGTGGGAGCCTTAGTAATGTCATTGCTTTCCATTGTTTTTTGGACAAACTATGTTTCCTTGATGTCCGTGCACAGGTTTTCTTTCCTGATGCTCAGGTTCCTGAGAAGGGAATCACAGCTGGGGACCAATACCCTAAGGGCTCCAGCTCCAAGATTCTTACAGGTCAGACCTTGTTTTTTTCTACCCTCACTGTGCCCACCGGGGTTCCAGCCCTGGCGTGGTGAGTCGGTTCCAGTGAATCATCTCACCTGCTTTCCTTTAATGCCAGTTTTTCCTGCCCAATCCTCCACTGAGAGACTAAGCACTCAGTACCCCAAAGTGTTAACCTCGGCAAGCCGAAGGGAAGCCAACTGTAACCGCCTCCTTCCCTGCAGTACAGTGCCAGCTCCTAGTAACCTTCCTCCCTGGCGCTTGCTTCTCGAATCTTTGAGCCTTTGGGGATGTTTTCTAAGATGTCACGGGTTCCCCAGGACTGCACTGCTATGTCCAACCTCCATCAAAGAGGAATCGATTGGAGCTGCCCTCTGTGAACCAAGCTCTCTGCGAGAAAGACTTCCACTGCTGAATAAGGGCGCTTACTGTAGGCCGGGCAGCTTCTTCCTGAGCATCCCTGACCTTTTCGGAGTGGTGGAAACATGCTCCATTCATCACAGTCCAAAGAGATGGCTCCGTAACCACGATTCTTCTTTCTTCCCCAGCAGACTTTTTTTAAGTAGAACTTTCATCTCCTAACACAAGCTGCTAGAACACAAGAGGTCAATCTGATACATTTCTTTCATTTCCCCGGATTCCTGGTAGCAAAAAGCTGGGCTATCATGAAAGCCCCGACCAAATGCACAGGAGACAGGACGGGTTAGCTCTGCTCCAGGGTGGGTAAATACCGCCCTCTGCTGGTGACTTTTAGTTAGCTCCGTGGCCTTAATGCATGGTTAGCAATGGGGTGCCCTGGGTATCTGGGAGTTACTTGGACAGGGAACAGGAGTCCTTGTGGGTAGTTTGGTCTTAGGGTAGGAGGGGTCAAACTCGCGGGTGATCTACCGGCCTTTTTTATTTTTTATTGGAGACAGGGTCTCACTGAGTTGCCCAGGCTGGTTTCAAACTTGAGCTCTTCCTGCCTTCCGTCTCCGTGGCTGGTGTTACAGGCGTGTGCGGTCACGCTGGGGACTCCTCGGGGTACTTTTTGAAAGGGGAATTAAGGCAGCATAAGTTATGCTTGGGAAAGGAGGTTCTGGCTTTAGCCTGGAGCATGGATGGCTCCTCTGCTGAATCCCTGAGGGGTCACTACCACGCCAAGGTCCCAGCAAGGGAGGAGGTAGTTGGGCCCATAGAGACTCCAGGGCCTGAATCTGAGGACCTGATTCCCTGTCCGGAGGACAGTGGAATCAAAGCCTTGCCTCCCTTTGAGCACAGAGCCTGGTCATGAAGGACAGCCCCAGGGAAGGTAGCTTTGTGGGGTTTGTCCGATGGCCAGCTTCTCCAGAGCTCAGGGTGGCACCTGCCAAGGTCCCACCGAGTCCAGATCCACAGAAAGAAAAGTGCCCCCAGTCCATAGATGATGGCCTGAGATCACGGGGTTTGTCTGCCAAACACTTTGTGTAGCCTGCTTCAGGGTTCCAAGGAGGTCGGGATTCACCCTAAGCTCAAAGCCAAGAGAAGTGTCCTGACCCAGACTTAGGGGCAAACAGACATCTAGGCCCCTTCACCCTTATGGTATCAGCTCAAAGTACAGCCCCCTCTCGTCACTGGAGAACCGTGTGCTTCTGGATTGTGCTCTGATCGGCCGTGTGTGCTTATTTCATCTGACCAGGGGCCTTGTTTTCCAAAGCCTCAGCATAAATGACCCCCACAGACATGGACTTGGCCTTTGGGGTCTGATGCTGGCCTCTCTTTCTACTCACCCCTCCTCGTCCCCAAACCTTGCTGTGCACCCTCTAGCCACCTGCTTTCCATTGAAGGTTGATCATCCCTAATCTCAAAACCCAAAAGTTTCCAAAATGTAAAACGTTTTGAGTGCCAACATGATACCCACAAGTAGAATCATTATGTGCACAAAATGACTTAACTATTGCATCAAATCAACTCCCAGCTCTCGGTATAAGACGCATGAATGAAACTCATCATGGGTCCCCTCACCAAGATATCTGCGTCACCACTGCAAAATGCAAAAGTTGCAAAACCTGAAATACTTCTGATCCCAAGTATTGAACCTGCAGTTGGAAGGGAGGTGGTCAGGGGTCCGCATGCCTTAGCTGTGTCTATGGGTTTGTTTCATCCTCAGGTATCCAAACAGTTCTGGTCAAGCAGGACATTGGGTCCACCCCAGTTGGTCATTAACATGGTGGTCCGGGCAGGCAGAGGCAAATGTGCCTTAATGCAGTCTTTAGGACAGTGACTCTGGAACTCTGAAAGTGCCCAGATTTGGTCCCTAACCTGCAGGTGATTGTAGCCCAGGACCCAGCAACTCTAGCACTGGCATTTGGAGCTGGATCATCCTTCATCGAAAGGGTCATCCGGATATTATAGGCTGTAGGGCCTCCGCCTACTAGATGTCAGTCGAAACCATCAGACAGGTCATCAGACAGTGCCCAGTGTCTCACCTTGGAGGGCAGTAGCTCCACACACACACATTCCTTAGATGAGAACCATTGCTGTGGACTTGAGGGGCAAGAGGATGTCTAGTAGACACCCCAGGACTTCTCATCACAGACCTTCCGGAGGGGGCTCCCACAGCTTTCCTCCGCCCCATGGTAATGCCCTTTGTCCACCGCCACACTGAGGCCTGAGGGAGCTGTAGGGGAGAAAGCATGGCTCCACAAACCGCTTCCAAGCCAGAGATGGGTGCTTCTGTTTGGATAATAAGATGCGGCCTCCTCAATGTTGGTTCTGACGGAGACCCCCTTGGCCAGTGCCCGCTCTCTGGATCTGAGACTCCCTGTGCCCGCACTCTGTTCTTGCTGTTGTGCTGTCACCGTGACTGTCAGACCCACTCCAGGCCCAGCGAGCGAGACTGGGGACTCCTGCAGCTGTCCCTTTGGGTGTCCACTCTGGGGCTGCGGAGGCTTCTGGGGTGCGCGGAGCCAGGGTCCCATCTCGCCACGCACGCGCCATCCGAAACTCAGATGTCCCCTACCTCTGAGCTCTCGATGCTGCTAAGCTCTGCCAAGTGTCCCGTGCGCTCCAGAACCTTCCTCCAAGGACTGACGCCCGCCCCCAGCTCCTCGAGAGTTTGCCCAGGCTCTGTCCGCCGCATGCTCTTCTTCTGTATAGTTCTCATCTTCTAATTTTATGGGATTCAACAAAAGTCTATTTATGCCTGTTTGCATTATGGTTAAAAATATTAAAAAGTGGACTCAAGGTGGCTGGCTGTGGTCTTTGGTTTCGTGTGCTTAGAATTTCTCACCTCTTGATGGGCTGTCACCGTCTGTCAGTCTGTCCTGTCTGGTGCCCTGGAAGCCAGAGTTGGCTGGAGGCTGATAAAGGGGGTGCCCTGGGGTAGGGGGAGAAACTGTCTCAACACTGTCTCAACAGAAGCTCCAACCAGCCATGCAGGGAGTTCTAGAGGTGACCTCAGGTGTTGGGGCACCACTCAGTAGCAGGGTACTTGCTACCCAGGTTTAGATCCCTGGGTTCCATCTCCAGCACTGCAAAATCAGTAATAAATAAATAACAAAGATGACCTGTCCAGTCCTGATTCCAGACTTGAGATTTGTTTTTTGTTTTGTTTTGTTCGCTTGTTTTCCAGTACTGGGAATTGGATCCAGGGCCTTCGTCCTGAGCTATGTTCCTAGCCCTGTTTGTTGGTTTGTTGACTTGTTTTGTTTGTGACACAGGGTCCCCCTAAGACACTACATTGCCCAAGCTAGGCTCAAACTTGTGACCCTCCTGCCTCAGCCTCTGGAGTGGTGGATTTGTAGTTGTATAGCACCATGCTCAGCTAGAAGGCCAGGCTTCCTGCTTCTGTATCAGCTCCTCTTGGGCCAGGCAGCCCTCTCCAGCTGAAGCCACCCTAAGAGGCTGACCACTGAGAACAGCTCTAGCAGCTGGAGGACTAGATCTCGGTTCCTAATGTGCATCTGTGAGGTGCTACCTGGATCCTGTCCACACTACTTTCCCGTCCACGGCTGCCACATGGTGTCTACACCACCTTCCCCCCACCCTGAACCCTTCCTCCTGCACTCCCAGCCCAAGGGTCCTTGGAGCTGGTTCCTAGCTGGTTTCAGAGCCCGTTGCAAAGGAAGGGACTCACTAGCATTGCAAAAGCAGATTAAGAGGTGCAGATCTCAAATACCTGACAGGTGGGTCACAGTTAAGGGACAGGCTAGTTGAGGGGTGATGGGGGAGGCTTCATCTTACCCTTCTGGACATGGCCATTTGCATGCTATGACAATGTGACATTCACACCAGTTTCCTGATTAGAAACCACAAACCACCAGACATTCAGCATTTTTTTCTCCTCAGTACTCAGGTTGAACCCCAGGCTACATTCTTCAAACCAAGCTACGTTCCAATCCCTTTTTATTTTTAGATTTTGAGACCAGGTCTTGTAAAGTTGCCAAACTGTCCAGACTGGACTTCAATTTGCAATCCTCCTCCCTCAGCCTCTTGGAGTGCTAGGCTTACATGCACGTGGGACTGCACCTGGGTGACATTCAGCTTTTTAAAGTACAAGGTGACTTCCCTAGCATCAGCCCCTACACACACACACACATACACACACACATGCACACACACACGCACCATTTCTAACTCATCAGCCCCACCCTGAGTCTTACAATGTCCACCTGCAAAGGTCAGAAACAGAACAAGAATCAAAGAACTCTTCCCAGTGCCATGTTCCTTTTTGTCCTGCAAAACATTTGTCAGCTAATGAAAATGAGGGCTCATGGTGATGAAAAGCCAGTCTTCACATGAGTGCCCCAGCATGCTGTCATCTGCAGTCATCCATCGCTTAGTGACCGATACACCTTCTGAGTTTTCCACTCTGCTTCTGAGCTGTTATTCAGTGCATGACTATACTCTCCCCAAGATAAGGCTTTTGGAACTAAGCGAGGCATCGTGGCTAACTCTGGGAGGCTGAGGCAGGAGGATCATGAGTTCAAATCCAGCCTCGGCAACTTAACAACTTAGTAAAACCCTGTCTCAAAATTGAAAAAAAGCCTGAGGACACAGCTCAGTGCAAAGGTTCTAGGTTAAATCCTGAGCCCACAATGGAGTAAAAAAAAAAAATTAGAACACTGAGGCATAGAGAGATCAGACACCATGTACAGAGCTGGTAGCTAATACACGTGAGAGGCAGAATGTGAAGCTAAGCTGTCCAGACCAAGAACTTGCCTTCTTATCTAGCACTCCATGCTGCTCAGACTCAGACTATCTTGGTCCAAATCCAAGCTCCTCCACTTCCTGACTGTGTAACTTTGGATAAGCTACCCACCTCTCTGTTCTCCCATTTCTTTACCATAACATAGACTATGACTTCTTCGGTTTGCAATGGGATTGAGTATGTCTAATGCACTTGAATAGGACAGGACGGGTAGGGTGGGATGGTGGAGGGGACGGGATGGAACAGGAAAATAAACTGCTTCCTGCCAGTTTCCTCTGTCTTTTTGTCTTCTAGAAGTACAGGGAGCTCCATCTTAAAGCTACTTGACACTTAAGCACCTCTAACCACCTGTGGTCAGTTTAAGGGCTGCTTTTGAAGAGCCAGTTCCTGGGCATCTCCCCACTCGCCTATTAGCACTGCTTCCAGAAGCTCTGGACACCTGTGTCCTCACTATGCGGCCCACGTGATCCCCCCGACACACACACACACACACACACTAGAGTTTTGGCAGGTCCAGCCTCATAGGATGCCGGGGACAATCTAACACTACACGCATCCCAACTGGGTGGCTTTGGTTGCCTGGCAACCAGGTGAAAAAAAAAATTCAAGTTTACACCAAAACAGAATCTTCCCAAGAACAAATCAAAGGATAAAGGAGTGGGAAATGCATATGAGTGGGTGAGTGGGTTGAGAGAAATAAAGGACTTTTTAAGTCTCTGCAGATCCAAATAGCACAGGGGCTTTCTTTCACACAGAAAAATCGTAGGGTTTTTTTTCCTCCCATATCCTCCACAATATCACCAAGAGAACAAACAGGGAAGCCATTTATAATGAGGTGGATCAATACAGTGTTTAACCCACATCGCCCAAAGGAAGTCATTTTGCTGATGGGGGAAAATAAGATTCAATGCATCAAATAGCAGAAGGATTTAGACACTCATAATCAGCAAGGTGAATTTTTAAAAAATTCAAATTCTTTGTATCACCAGGCTTGCTGGCAGGGAGCCCGGGGTTGTAAATATGTGTAATACTATATTGTTTGGAGAATAAAGGACCAGAGACTGCTGGCCATTCCCCATCTGGGTTTTCTCAACTGGAACTCAGGGTTGAAACTGGAAGCCGGGTGGTCTCAACTCTTTCCTAATTTACTACATGCAAGCACCTTAAAATCTTCAAGGGTGACGGGATGTCTCCTCTTTCCTGTCCTTCCTTGTCCCACAGGAATGTAGCCATGCAGGGCAACAGTCAAGAGACAGCCACAGACACACCTAAGACGCAGGGTGCGTGCACTAAACATTGTGCAGTGTGAATCTATTTTGTTTAGAAAGTTTTGAATAGAGTCACTAAGGAAAATGCAGTTTTTAGCAGCAAGTTGCAGGCAAAATCTATGGACAGAGAAACACCACCTGTGCCTTTCTCCTCCCTAGTGGTGGCCTTGACCTCTTTGGAAAACATGCCCTGTGCCCAGATTGTGCTTTGGGAAATATCTCTTTCCCACCAGGATGGTTTGAGTGAAAGGCATTTGGTGCCACCAGGGACCGGAGGGGAGAGAGCCAAACCCTTGGGCCCACATTCACCACATCCACCACACACTCAAGCCACAGCTGCTTCCTCATCTCACTGTTCCTCCTCGGGCCACCCAGACCTTCCCTTCTGGGCTGAAAAGATTCTAAACATGGTTTTTATTTGCTTCCGCCCCCTGCCTGGAACCCCTCTCTTCTCTCTGCTGGTCCCATTTCTACGGCTGAAGATTTGATTCAAACACCTCCTTGTCAGGCGTCCACCTCCATTCTCCATTGGTATATCCTATCTGTACCAGTCACTTGGCATACAGGAGGTCTTACTTTGCAAGCATTGTCTCCATGCACGGACATCAATGTGTTTCATCCGCTCTTGTGTATCAGTTACCTATTCCCATGATAATGCTGAGTAACAAACAGCCACAACAATCTTCCTGACAGGTTGCTTGTTAATGCTCAAGATTAGAAAGAAGTAGCTCTGAGCTCAGGAATGCAGGTGTCCTCCACATGCTGGGAAAAACAAGGAGCAAGTTAACACTGAGTAACTACAAAAGAAACAGCCCTTAGATACACTGAGGATTTTTAATGTTTAGGGCCGTAAAATAATATCTTTGTTGTTTTAAGCCATTTAATTTATATTCATTTTGTTATAGTAGCAACACAAAGCTAATACTGAAACAGTATCAGTTTACCTTTGCTTTTGCTCTGGACAGAACGCATTTTCCAGCTTCTAGAAGTTATATCTGAATTCCTTGGTTTATGGCCCCGCATCACGTCAACCTTTGCTCCTCCTGCCCCTTCATCAGGTCCCCTGCCCTAAGGAATGCAGGATAATCTCTTCTTCCTAATTCTTTGTTTGATCACAGCAGAAAAGCCATCTTTGCCACATAAACACACAGAAGTGTGTGGGAGCCTTATTCAGTCTCCCACATTTCTTTTTTTTTTTTTTTGTCTTTTTGAGACAGGGTCTCGCTATGTAGTTCAGGCTGGCCTTGAGCTCACTTTGTAGCCCAGGCTGGCCTCGAACTCACAACGATCCTCCTGCCTCAGCCTCCCGAGTGCTGGGATTACAGGCGTGAGCCACCACGCTCCAGCTCAGTCTCCCACATTTCACCCCTTGGCGTGAAATGAAGCGTCCCTGGGTTCGATCCCTAGTTCTGAAAAAAAAAATTTCATTCAACTGATCTACTTGCAGAATTCATTCATTCATTCGGAATATGATGGGGACCCAGTGGGTGTCAAGCTTTAAGCATTCACATTACGATGAAAGGAGAGACAGCTCTCTCCTCACAATATGTGAGCTTACACCTGACCCTCCTTTTTAAAAGAAATATGTCAGAGAATGGTAAGTAAGTGATTTTAGTGGAAATTTAAAAAACAAGGAAATAACAACAGAATTTCACTGACAGAGAAAGTGTCAGCAATGAGGTGACAAAGGAACCAAAGAAACTTGTAGAAGGTGGGGAGCAAATCTAAGCCCATAAAAGGGTTAGCTGGCCCAACCAAGTGTCTCA